AGGGACACCAAAGTGAGTGGGTTGCATGGGGAGAAGGAATTTCTTCCCAGGAACAGGATATTCGTGGTGACCCTTCCATACCTGGGTCCCATGGCCAGCATATCTCTAACGTCTCCTGCTTTCTGGGGTGACTCAGTCTTCTCTCCCTGGTGGAAATTGCATTCAGTGCTGCACCAGTTCCTCTGATGTATCCATGGCAACATTCACATGGATTTCATAGAACATAAGGTGTTTGAGCTGGAAGGGCCCTCAGAGATCAGCTCCTCCTGCCCCCACATTTCACAGAGGCTCAGAGAGGGGATGCCACATGGCTAGGGCAACACGGCAAGCTGTGAACATAGCTGGGTTTCTACCCTTCTAACGCCGTTCCAACCCCCCAGAAACAGTCAGCTGGGTTCTGCAGGACTGACTTCTGGGGAGGTGCTCTGGGGATTTTGCCACCACCTCTGCTTCCTGAAAGACCCCTTAAGTTTAGCCTGGCTATCTGCTGCTCAGTCACAAAGTTGTTTTTCAGTGCATAGTGGGGACAGAGACAGATAAGTCAGCAAGATTACAGGCAGGGCAGAGGCGGCATAACCCCAGGGAACCACAGAGAACATCTGGGAAGCAAGAAGTAGGGGCAGGAGCTAGGGAAGACGTGCATTTCATGTAAAGGCTAGGGTCCTGAGGAGGACTCTCCTTCATGGCTGGGCCCCATATCCCAGCACAAGAGGGCCTGCCTGAGGTCCATGCTGTTTGGTTGGACAGTGGGTAGTAGTGATGCTGGAGGGCTTTGAAAACTGGGGACATGGAGAACAACTGCCTGACCTGGAGGCCCTAGCAGGTCACTATGGCTAAGGATTCATGGCACATGTCATTCAGAACAAGGGAGGTGAGACACAGAGAAGGACAAATCAGAAGGTACAGTACAGTAATTGGTGGCCATGGGCATAAGGGGAGTGGCAGAAATGAAGGTCCAGAAAGCAGGTCTCAAGGAGACTGGAGCAGATCTGGAGTGATTCAGTCCCCTTGGGGACATGGACACATATTGTCCCTCTTCTGCATAGCAGAGCCAGCCCTATGTTAGGACAGTTGAGGGCCATAAGCCCCTTCCCTAGCATATGGTCCTCACCCCTACCTGCAGCAGGACCCCAAACCCAGCCTCAGGCTCCTGCTCTGGCCTCTTCTTCTTTCTAGGCTGAAGCACCTGGGATCTGGACATCCCTCGGCCCAGCCAAGGCCACACCACACACTGGATCTTTTTCACCAAACTGGTTCCTTCATGTGTGTTTGATGCTAGCCTGCTCTAGTTATTTATTGCTGTGTGACAAACATCCCCCAAACACTTATGAACCTGCATGGCGTCCACTGGGGCTGGGGTGTCCACTACCAGACCAGTTTCTTTCTGCACATGGCTGGCAAATCAGTTCTTCTTCAGTGGCTTTTTGCACCCGGCTACTCAGGCTTTCTCCCAGCATGACAGGCAGGTTCTAAGAACAACTAACCGGGTACAGACAATCAGCTGGGTATAGAATTATTTCTGCTATATCTGTTGTTCAAAGAAACCACAGCTTTTGTCTAGATTCTTGGCCAAGGGACACAGACCCTTCCATCACTGGAAAAATACCAAAGAGTGAGTGCCATTTTTAATCTATCCCAGAGCCTGTCTCTGCCCCATGAATGGTGTTGTCCTTCCTTATTTCTAGGCCTGCAGATACTGTCTGTCCTGAAGTCCTTTCTGTCCCTAATACTTCTTCCCTGGGCTACTGCAGTCTCCCTCCCTGCAGGCACCACTATTCATCCCCTCTACCACTCCCCAGTATTCCTGTAACGGTGTTCTCTCTCTGTTGTTCTGCTCAGAGACCATATATGACTGTCTGATTCCTTAGAATAATTTCCAGTCTCCCAGGTATAACATTCATGTTTCCCTTATAATCTGGTCTGGCCTCTCCTGCCTTACCTAAATTGGGTTACTTCCCTTGATGCCCATGTACTGGCACTCACCTGGGCATACTGACTGCCTCCAACTGGTAAGTTCCTCCATTTCCTCTCCCTGTTAGACTCCTGTTCTACCTTGAAAGTCCAGTACAAAGCCCTCTCTCCTCCATAAAGCCTTGCTGTCATTACACAATCACACCAGTCTTGCTCTCATTGCATACTGACATTCATTCTGCCTAAAATCCTTCTCAGCATCGATTTGTCCTCCTAAAGTGAGGCCCGTGTGTTTGATGCATATTTCTTTCATCAATGTAACAACTGCTTATTGAGGCCCAGAGCCAGCTGCCAGGGATATGGCAATGACCAAGACAAGCTGCTTCCTGTGCCCAGAGAACTTACATTCCAGAGGGGAGAAACAGATGGCAAACAGAGGAACCAAGAGACATAATGATCAAAGATTAGGAGGACTGCTGGGAAGCAAGAGAGTGAGGGGGCCCTGAGCCAGGCACCTAGAGCTCCCATTTTTCAAGAGAAAACAAAGAACTGGATTTTTATGTAAAAGTTTTAAAGGCAATCCTGTCTTTTCTGCACCTAAAGATTCTCCTCCTTTGTAGGCCTGCCACTTGCTCTGGTTCATTGCCTCCTTCTCTGCTTCCTGGTTGCCTGTCTATCAACATTCCTCTACCACTTAAATGCCTCACTTGTAGACCCCACCCCCAGAGCATCCAAATTCCTTGTGGTTCCCATGCACTGGGCTTGCTCTGGGCAGCAGCTGATAGGAAGATGTAGGATCCACTGCCTAGGACCCTGGAGGCCAGTAGGCATTGTTTGTTGAGGCCCCCAGCAGAGATCCTGGGGCGATCATCCCATAGTTGGCCTTTTGGGAGGTGGGACACCTACAGTGTCCAGAGCTGCAAAAATGGGAGCTCGGCCGGGCATGGTGGTGCATGCCTGTAATTCCAGCACCTGGGAGGCTGAGGCAGGAGGATTGTTGCAAGTTCAACCAGCCTGGGCTACAAAGTGAGCTCAAGGCCAGCCTGAACTGCATAGTGACAGCCTGTCTCAAAAAGACAGAAAAAAAAAAAAAAAAAAAAAAAAGAAAAAGAAAAGGGAGCTCAATATTCATTCCCTAGGCCAACTACATACACGTCTGGGGATTGACCTGGAGGAGGTAGAGGGCCAGAGAAGAGAGACAGTAAAAGAAGGCTCAGGAGACTTCAGGGCTTCTCTGGGTTTGCCCCCCAGCTCCAACAGCTACCTCAGGGACTGCGGGGTGCCCGGGATGCCGCCGCGGTCCCTGAGGTATGAATCAGGACCGTCCCTGCCATGGGACAGTTTATACTCTGGCTTTTGTTTTGTTTTTTTTTTTGTTTTTTTTTTTGAGACAAAGTCATTCAGGGTAGTCTTGAACTCACTATGGAGCCTGGGCTGGCCTCAAACTCCCAGTGATCCTCCTGCCTCAGCCTCTGGAGAGCTGGGATTACAGCTGTGTACCACCATATCCAGCTAACAGGATCGTTTTAAAGATGTAATGTGCCTGGCACATGATAGTACTCAGCACTGGATAGCTTTCCAGGCCTGTAAGGAGCAGGCCATGCTAGGCTCTCAAAGAATTCCTGCTGGCAGCATCCCTCCATTTGGATCTTTCCAGGCCTCTGAGGCCCAGAAGTAGCTAATTATTGGTGTTCTGGGTACTGACAGCTGGGAAGGGTAAGGTTTCTGAGGAACCTGGGATCCTGGTGACAGCTATCATATCTTGGGATACAGTCAAGTATCTTCTGGAACTCCATTTCTCAGAGGAGCATCCAGAAGCTACCTGTCCTGGGGGCAGCATTTCATTCATTCTTTTTTTTTTTTTTTTTAGACAGGGTCTTGCTATACAGTTCAGGCTGGCCTTGAGCTCACTTTGTAGCCCAGACTGGGCTTGAACTCTCAATGATCCTCCTGCCTCAGCCTCCCAAGTGCTGGGATTACAGGCATGTACCACTACACCCGGCTACCATTTCATTCTTGAGACACAGAATATGTTAGCTGGGGGTCCTGGAACAGAGCAATGCCAGGTAGGACGTTGTCAGGGCCTGGAGATGGGTGTGGTGGGGTCCAATTTGGGATTTGGAGAATCAGCACCATCCTCCCTGAGTCCAGAACCTGGCATGTGTAGGCCAAGGTACCGGTCACACCTAAGGGCAAGGCCACCCACCTTCCAGACTCAAGGGCACAGCCCCTGTGAGGGGACCTTCTGCTCATTTCCTTTTTGCATAGACCCTCAAGCTTCTAAAAGCCCAGGTAGCTCTGCTATCTCTGCATTGTCCTGCCATTTATAACCAGCTGCCTGTGGAACCAAGTGTTCCCTCGCAGCGAGCTTTGTTTGCTGAGCATCAGAGTTGGCGCTGCCTGGACCCACCTGCCCCAGATAGAGCAGGGAGGAGCAGTGGGGCAGGTGGCAGGTTTCCCTGGCTGAGAAGGACCGAATGCCCACCCATGCGGGTTCTCTGTCCCCAGCGCTTCATCTCAGGACACCTCTCTTGTCCCGAGTCTGGTGATGCATCCAGCAAGGGGGTCACTGGACTGGGGAGGGAGGGGTGGTGTACAGTGCGCGGAGGTGATATAGGACCCTGTGCTCCCTCACCCAGGTCCACTGCCTCATATAGGAGTCCGAATACCAAGGTGGCCAAAAAGGGCCTCTCTGTCTTTCTCTCTTTTTTTGACGGGGGTGGTTCTTTCTGAGACAGTCTCACTGTGCAGTTCAGGCTGGCCTTGAACTCACTTTGTAGCACAGGCTGGCCTAGAACTCTCAGCAATCCCCCAGCCTAGGCATCCCGAGTGCTGAGATTACAGATTTGCGCCACCACACCTGACCAGAGCGGGGTCTCTGTGCCTGACTGCCCCATCCGGCCCGGGGGTTGGGGGTTCTGGAGCGGCTCACGGCTCAAGCTCTGGCCTCTTTCAGTCTCCTGACACCACCCGGGCGATCTCATTTGCATGAATCCTCCCCTCTCCGACACGGTCATTGGCGGAGGCAGAGGCGGGAGGCGGGGCCTGGGTAGCAGGGCAGCCTGTGGGATGGCTGTGGCGGGGCGGGTGCGGGGTGCCCGGGATGCCGCCGCGGCCACCTCTCGGCTTCGGGTCCGGCTCGGGCTCAGCGGGCGCAGGGAGTGGGGCGGCCCGCGGCACGACAGGCGCAAAACGAACGCACTAAGCACCTGTCTGCCATGTCCAGAAAGAAGACCTCCAAGAGCAAGGCGGGCAGTGTGCCCGCTGCCTCCGCGCTGCCTTCTGCCAACGGGGCCCGGCCTGCGCGCCCCGGGACTGCGCGCCCTGGCCCCGAGGCGCCGCCCAACGGGCCCCAGCAGCCCGGCCGGCTGTCACTTGGCGGGGGTGGTGACTTCTACGACATCGCTTTCAAGGTGAGCCAGGCACCTTGCCCCCAAGCGCGTGCAGCAGGTGGCGTCTGGTCTGTCGGATCCGAGCCAAGAGGGGAGGGAGCCTGAAAAGGGGCGCAGGGTGCCGCGGAGCTGGCCGAGGAAACCTCACAGCTGGCACAGCTGCAGTGTGCACTGCGCGCGCACACAGAGCTGTCAGGTTGTTTGGGGTGCTCAACAGCTGGGTGGGCCTCCCGTCCTCCTTCCTCAGAGGACAGCCGAACAAGGGGTCCTGGGACATCAGAACCCGGCAGGCACCCCTCCCGCGGACCATCCCCCCCACCTGGGCTCCAGTTTCATCATTTCCCATATGCTGCCTTCTCTCACATCCAGGGGTTGTGGGTCTCCTCTTTTTTGGGGAAGCCAGAGGCTGGGAAGAGGTTTGCCAGTTGGATGGGGAGACTGAGGCCTCCCCCAGACCAAAGCAGAAGCTATGTGAATTTGGCAGGGGTAGATAGGATCATTTTTGGATTTTAGAAGATTTAGCAGCAGGCTGGTGTGGGGGGGAAGGCTTGTCTGTCCCTTCTGTCCACAGACCTGGAACAAGCCCACCTGACCCTAGGCTGGGAAATCTCTCCTAAAAAGGCTGCTGGGATTTGTATCTTTTTTAGGGTTTGAAGAAGCCCTTGGGAATGGAATCCCTGGAGGTCTCTTAGGAGGTCTCAGCTCTCACTGCCCTCTGTTCCCCACTGGACCCCAAATACTTCCCTCCCAGATCAAGCTCGACTTTCACTGGGAGAGCAGCAGCCCTCACCCCCACTGACTGAGAAGGGCCCTGTTGGGAGGGAGAGAAGGGACCAAGACCACCAGAGGTAGAACCGTCTCCCCAAGCCATCTGAACCCGCAGGCCTAGGATGGCCCTCTCCTCTGCTCCCCATCACCTGCAGCCCTTTCTGGCTTGGGCAGTTCATAACAGATCAAAAGCCCCCTCTAGGTGGGCTAGCATCTTATCCCCTCCACCTTGGTCTACTTCTGACCCTCGTGTCTGCCCTAGGTCATGTTGGTGGGAGACTCAGGCGTGGGGAAAACCTGTTTGCTTGTGCGCTTCAAGGATGGTGCTTTCCTGGCAGGCACCTTCATCTCCACTGTGGGCATCGACTTCCGGGTGAGAGTGGGGCTCTGACCAGTTCCCCCTCATGAACTCACTGAGTCCTCCCAGTATCCTTGGGCAGCTGGTTCTCCATCTTTCCTGTGGTAGCGCCAGTTCTCAGGAGGTGGAGCTGCTAATGGGGGTGGTTGCTTCCCAGGCATGGGACACCTAGCCACCAAGCTGAGTGACTCCCAACACCCAAGGGTCCTGAGAAGATCTCCCAATATCTTAGTGGTCGTTGCATCCAACTGAAGCAGACGTCTGTGCCAGGGGCTGGAATTATCCTGGGCCTGTATTCCCAGGGTACTGGCAGTCAGAGGAAACTCAAGGCCGACATCCACTCAAGCCAGTCACTGCCCCACTGCACAGAGGTGGCCCAAAGATGACAGCCAGGAACCTGCCCAGGTCCTGCAAGCCACGAGGCTGAGACGCAGCCTGGGAGGTTTCTAGGTCTTGCTTGGAGGAGGGGTCCCTGCCTTTGGGTGTAGAGACCCCTAGTATCCCAAGCAGGGGTCCCTGAGGCTCTAGCATCAGAACCCTTACCTCTGGCCATCAGTCTAAATCCCGTGTACTGAGGTGCTGGTGTGTTCTTGGCAAATCCTGAATTTGCATTTTTCTCACCCTTTAATTAGACCCAGTTAGCAGGAAGCTGGGAAGGAGGCCCATTCTGGGGACAGTAAAGGAGGGCTTCCTCCAGTTTGGGGAGCTGTTCTCTACCCAGATTGAAATGAACGGTTGAGGTGCCAGAACAAGCTTGGAGACACATGACCTTTTGCCTGTCTAGGCTCCTCTTCCCCTTGGCCCTGGGACAAGTGATACGGCCAAGTAGATGAACGTTTGTGCCCCAATTCAGGGAGCCAGGGAAGACAAGGTATTTTCCCCAGCCTGGCAGATGGTTGAGTTTGGTTCCCTAGAGACCCAGAAGCACCCTTACAGCAGTAGCTTGGGAGGTGGTAGTTATTCCAGCTGCCCAGGCCTGCCCTCTCCATGAGGAGGGGACTCTGGGCCTTGTGTCTAGTCCTGAACAGGGAGGGCCCATCTGTGGAGCACTGTCAGCCATTCAGCCATAAGTACAAGTACCTATTGCATACTAAGCATAGTTCTGGCCTCTGAGGTTTCAGCATTAGGCCAGATAGGCCAAGCCACCCCTTGGGAAGCCCATGTTCCAGTGGGAAAACTTAAAAAGGGTGGGGAGGTCTTTCTTTAGGCAGGACAGTTCTCAGTGCACACAGCAGCTCATTAAATTAAGGGTGCATCTATAATGGGAATGGTACTCTAGTTGTCTCCATTTACGGTAAGGAAACCAAGGCAGTGTTAGTAACAAGTCTTGGGCATGTATGATTTTAGTGTGGCTTGGGGTGCAGCTCAGTGGTTGAATGTTTGCCTAGAGTATGGTAGAGGCCCTAGCTTTGATACCCCACACCAAAAAGTGGGGGGAGGTACCGTGGCTCTAAGCGGACCCCCCCGCCCCAGCAAATTAGAGGTATCCATTCTTTGGGAGGAGGGAAGAGGCTGACTTGTCCAGTGGATACATGGAAGCCCATGCAGAAGCCAGGTAAAGGTGGCAGTCAGAGATGGTAAAAGCCAAGGGAATGGAGAGCAATGACATTTGGCTTGGGATACAGTGGGGTGATGGCAGGGGGCCAGAGGAGCTAGTAGACAGGAAGAAAAAACTGGCCCAGGATGGGTATAGTGGTGTACACTTATAGTCCCAGCATTAAAAAGAAAAACAAAATCTTTTAAGCCCATCAAAGCAGCCACCTGAGGAGGGCCCTGAGCAGTTCTGTGGATGGAACCACTGGAGGTGCTCCCCCAGGGCAGGTGGGAGAAGTGTGTGGACCCTGGGTGCACCTGGGCCTAAGGGAAAGCATGACATGTAGACGAGAGAGGTATCTGGCCTCTGAAGAATCTGGACAATGTTTGGGAATGACTTAAAGGTCTCAGCTAATAAGGGCCCTTTACTCTCCCAGTCCCCTTTCAACCCACCCTTTAGAGCCCCCAGGTACAGGGTTATGAGTGCTCATTGGAGCTGACTGGTTCTGTTTCAGAATAAAGTTCTGGATGTGGACGGGATGAAGGTGAAGCTGCAGGTAAGATGACTACGAAGAAGTTGGGGGCAAGGATACCAGGGAGGGGCTGGACAGCATGACCTGTGCCTGTTGCCACAGATCTGGGACACAGCTGGCCAAGAGCGGTTCCGCAGTGTCACCCATGCCTACTACCGGGATGCACATGGTGAGCCCATGGAGATGGGACCAGCTCCCCTGGGAGTCAGGGTTTTTGAGCAAGAGGGTCGGGGTAACCAGGAATCACTGGGCCCCCAGGGGTGTCCTCACTACACTCTACCCTCAGCACTGCTGCTCCTCTTCGATGTCACCAACAAGGCCTCCTTTGACAACATCCAGGTCAGTGGCCTCCTTCCTGGTGGGGTAATAGGCCATAACGGCCCAGATGGCACCAGGATCCTTGAGTGAGGACTCTGGTGGGCTCCTCTGGGCTTGATGTGACCCTAGCTGAGCATGAACTAAACATGGGGCACGATGACATTCAGCTCCCTCTTAGATAAGGTACCTAGCACAAGGAGCACTCTTTCTGGAATTGGATATTCTGTCAGGTGGGACCTGGAGGGGGCGAGATTCTGAGGGCAAAATATGGAATACCAGCTTCCACCTGGTCCTAGCTCTCCCCACACAGGCCTGGCTGACTGAGATCCAGGAATATGCCCAGAACGACGTGGTACTCATGCTGCTGGGGAACAAGGTGGGCAGGCCATTCTGCTCTCTCCACCCTGGCCCCACAAGGCAAGGCAGGTGAGGGGGGTGGGAAGGCAAATCATGGGCCAGCTGTCACCAAAACCTGTGCCTGGGCCAGGTGGATTCTGCCCAGGAACGTGTGGTGAAGAGGGAGGATGGAGAGAAGCTGGCCAAGGTGAGTCATGGCAGGGTGGGTGGCAAGGAGGGTGCCCCCGAGGCTGTGGAGCCTGGGCTATCTGCACCATGCCACCACCCAGCTGGCAACAGCTGTTTGCAGGAGTATGGACTGCCCTACATGGAGACCAGTGCCAAGACAGGTGTCAACGTAGACTTGGCCTTCACTGCCATAGCAAAGTAAGTCCAGGGAGTGAACAAAAATACCTCTAACACCTAGGGTCTGAACCCCTTCACTGGTGGTTCAGGGTACCACCTTGTTTCAATTCTCCTGCTCTATAGGGAGTTGAAACAGCGCATCATGAAGGTACCCAGTGAACCCCACTTCCGGCTGCATGACTATGTGAAACGGCAAGGCCGAGGGCCCTTCTGCTGTCAATCCTGAACGAGGGTGAATTTAGTTCTATTCTGAAGGGACCCAGCCCCAGAAGATGGACAGAAGCTCTACAGCCAGCAGCTCCCAGGGACTCCTGAGTCAAGTCTCACCCCATCTCTGTCCCAGCAGCAATCTCAAACCTCCATTTCCAAAAATCAAAGGTCCTTAGCCCCAGAGAGGACTCCTTGCAAGTATAGACCATGCCGTGGCACTCTGCTGCCCCCTCTTGGGCATTCCTAAAGGACCAGGCCACAGGCCAACACATGTATATGCTTCTGTGTGCCCCAAAGACCAGCCAAAACTGGTTAGGGTACCCACATGACAAGCCTTGTAAGGCCCGGCCACAGCTGAGACCTGATGTTGCCAACTCTTCATCTTGTACTAGTAGAGTGATTAAACCAGTCTTTTGATTGCAAATTGTTTGCTTTTATTTTTTTGAAACAAGGTCTATGTAGTATAGGCCTCAAACTCATGACAATCCTGCCTAAGCCTCCCAAGCGCTGGGATTACAGGTGTGTACTACCACTCCCAGCCTTGATTCCAAATGTTTTCAATTGTAGGGAATAAAGAGGTGCTTTCTGGAGTTCGTGTCTCATCTGGTGAAAGCAACTTCTAGACTAGATTATAGAGTTCAGGGGACTTGGTGAGGCCCAAAACTCTCCACAAGGTGGGTGAGGTTCCTTTATAACCCCCAGCTGCATCAAAGCTCAATGCTCTTCAGGGAGTATGTGGGAACCTTGGTGATTGGACCCCTGGGGCAAAGGCATAAAAAACAATCTTTTGGCCTTACAGGCAAAAATAGACAAGGCAGGCCTAAGAGGCATCAAGTCACTAGTAACTAACTTCATTTTAATGCCCATCTACTTCCCATTTGCCTGGGGATGAGCTTGTCCTCTACAGAATGCTAACAGTGTAAGAAAATAATGAGCTAGAGCCGGGCGTGGTGGCACATGCCTGTAATCTCAGTGCTCTTGGGAGGCTGAGGCAAGAGGACTGCTGAGAGTTCGAGACCAGCCTGGACTACAAAGTGAGCTCAAGGCCAGCTTGAACTGCGTGAGACCCTGTCTCAAAAAAAAAAGAAGTAAAGAAAATAACGATACAGAGAAGACTCATTACTTTTGCTTTATTGCTAAGCAGTTCAACTGACAAGGATGCCCACCTTACCAGGCCCTCTTGCCCACTGGGCCTCTGGATTTCGGTTGATTTAAGTTCAACATCTGTAGCCGACTCACCACGACCCTGAAAATCAATCAGAGTTCGAGATGTAGAGAAGCCCGTTCCCTCCATTTTGGCCCACCCCCCAAACCTTCCCAGTCCAGGGAGCTCACCCAAGCCTCAGTCTCGAAATATAATCAGACTGCATATGCAGTTCTCATACGAGGTGTCAGAATTTAGAGTAGTTCATCACAGGCTTGGAGCTGCATCTAGTATACTAGGCCTGGCCCAGTCTTACCTGCTGAACGTTGAAGAGTTTAAACGACACTGGTTAAGGTGGAGCTAGGCTGAGGCAAGATCCAGTGCTACGCCAGCCCGAGGGGTTCCGGAGATGCCTACGGTCCCACTGGGCGTACAGCTTTTCCCGCTCCACTTCCCACAGCACACCAACTCCACCGCAGAAAGACTCAGACCTCGTGCTCTATCCAAAAAGGAGGAGTTAGCTCCCGGCTCAAGCTTTTATAGAAACTGCCTTACTTCTATGATTGGGCAGATCTGGCGGAAGTGCCGCCTTTCCTCACCACTGATACGCTCCACTCTCTATCCGGCGGAGACCCGATTCTACTCCTTTTTGCGAAGACCATTGAGCGTTACTGTGAATGACTGTGCATAGAGCCAATCAGACTCCGATCTGCAACGTAGAGTGATTCTAAAGCCTCCAACCCTCCCTGGTACTGCGGGGCCTCCATAAATCGTAGTTTCTGAAGCGCCGCGCGTGAGGCAATAGCTTGGGTCACTGGAGTCAGCAAACTACAAGTCCCGGCGGGCTCAGCGCCTTACCCCTTCCGGGTTGCGCGTCTGGTCCCTTTCTCAGCCAGCGGCAGAGGGGGCACGATGAAGCTAGCGGGTGGTGCTGCCGCTCCCGGGCAGCAGGCGGGTGAGTGTCCGCGCGGCGCGCCCGATCCGCAGCTCGGGCCTCTGGGCCGCGCGCGGGGTGGGACCAGGTGCATCCTGAGCCTGGCTTGGGGGTGCGGGGCCGAGACGGGCCCGGATCTCCACGTCCGTACCTTCAGTTTGTCCACCAGTCGCTCCTTTGCTTCATTCTCTTTCTTCCTGCATTTATTGATCGCCGCCTCGGTGCCAGGCACTGTTCTAAGCGCCAGGGAGAACGCGAGCCCAGTTTTATAAGCTTATCTGGTCCAGGGTCCCCTAGTCTGAGCTGACAATTCTGGCTGGATTATTATTTGCTGCGAGGGGCTGTCCCGTACATTGTAGAATGTTGAGCATCCTCCCTGGCTTCTACTCACCGGAAGCCAGTAACCTCCCCCCTCCCGTTGTGACAACATTGTCAGCAGACATTGTCCAATGTCTCCCCACAATCCCTGGTCTCGAGAGTGAAGGAAGAGACTGACAATAGACAAAATCATGAGGGGTTAGGATAGGTATTATGAAAGAAACAGCTTGCTGGAAAATATGTCCTGGGGCTACTGTCTTGGTGGAGAGCCCTACAGTTGGGCAAAGATCTGACAGAGAAGCAAGCAGACCTGGGACATTGCCAGAAGATGTTCCAGGCTGTAGTCAAGAGAAAGGGATTGGTGCATCCCAGTTAATACTGGTGAGGTGGTGGAGAGGTTAGGTTTAGGAGGCGGGACAGCTCCACAGGGTACAGGCCAGGATTTGTACTGGGCTTTAAGCAGGATGTGGAGGACTTGATGCCTGGAAGATGGACAAGGTCTAAGTCTGGAGCCTTCTGGTTGTGTGCAGTGGATGGGTGTGGGGGTTTAGTGGAGACACAAGAGGCTGTCAGAGGTAAGCCAAGGTGGTCAGCTGAGGCTGGGGTCCAGGCCTCTTGGGTTCCACCCTACTTTGCTGTCTCACTTGCTTAGGAGCGCCATCTGAGTTGGGTATGGTGTCACACTGCTCTAGTGCCAGCACTCAGGAGTATGAGGCAGGAGGATTACCTCAAGTTTGAGGACAGTCTGGCCAGCCTGCACTATATAGCAAGACTGTCACACAAAACATACACACACACACACACACACACACACACAAACCAAAAAAAGAGCTCCATCTGCCTACCCTGACTGTACCCCTATTTCACCACCCCACAGCCCCCTCCCTATGTACAAATAGGCTCTTCTGAGCTGCTAACCCCTTTTCAACAGGCCTATGGTTCTTTCTTCCTCATTCCTTCTCTGGGCCTCTCCCTTCCCAGACCTCTTTCCTGTGTGACAGGCACAGCCTATCTGTTGTAAACTTCTCCTTTTACCTCTCTGGGCATTCACAGTTCACTGTGGACTCTGTAATCCTTATGTCTTGAGGTTCCCTATATCTATGCATTGCAGTCACTCCAGGAACCCAGAACTTCATTCTGAGGGAAAGCAGGGATATGTGCAGCTTGGCTGAGGTGACAGGCCAAGAAGGTGTGGCCAAGAATGACAATCCAACCTGAGAGGGTCCTTGAAGTTAAATCCCTGTGGCTTCATGGAATGAATAGAAGAGATCAGGGTCTAAAGTACTCATAGAGAAGTACTTCTGACAGATGGAATGGAGATTAGTGGAGGCTCCTCTCTGTCTCTTCCCTTGTCTCTCAGCTCCTCCAGGATGAAACTCACATTTAGCTTAGCACTGAGTCTCCAATCTCTAGCACTGAGTGGTGTGAACCTTGGCCTGCAATTGGACAAAGAAATGCCAGGTGTGGGAAATGGGAAGAAGGTGCAGCTGAAGGGCCTAAGCTGGGCAGGATGTACAACTCTGCGATATAGTCACTTCCTGCCTTGGCTTGACAAAGGGTTGGCTCATAGGGCATAGGGTTCCTAGGTTTGACTGGAAGTGGTGAAAAAACCAGAAGGAATAGAGTTTGAGTCAGCCTTGATGTGACTTCTTATTGGCCAGGTGCATGGGCCAGCCTCTCAGCCTCTCTCGGCTACCACTTTGAGTTTTTCTGTTTGTTTTTGAGACAGGTCTGTAAATCAGGCTAGCCTTGGATTTACTATATAACCCAGGGTGGCCTTGGACTGATGGCAGTCCTCCTACCTCACCCTCCAGAGTGCTGGGATTACAGGTGTGGATCACTCTGCCCAGCTCCACTTTGAGCTCTTAGTGACAAGCTGGAATTAGAAAATCTGCCACTATTTATCATGTCACCTCTCACAGCTCCTTCCAGATTAGTGTCCATTTCTACTTCGTTTTATGGTCAGAAATCCAAGACAGGTGAGGGTAAGCAACTCACCCAGCCACACATCTGTTTAAGTGGAAAAGGTGGGATTTGAATCCAGGTCTCTCTGAGTCTAGGGCCTGTGGCCTTGACTACTCTGTTATACTGAGTCTATGATAGACACTTCAAGGGGTCTGTAAGAGTGTGTGTGTAAAGTGCAAGCATGTGCCTAAAGCTGGTGGCTGCTCTGAACTAGGGTCCTCGCAGACCTGGTTTTACTAGTAGGTGGGCATCTTGTATTTTACCAGATCTCTGGAGGGTTCATTCAGGAAAGACCCGTAGAGAAGGACCCACCGGTCCTTCACCCTTCGACAAATGCTTCCTGTGTCCCCAGAATGTCAGTCCCAAGGCAGAGAATGTGGCTGTTCCCTGGAGGAATGTGCTGCCAGGTGGGGGCAGATGAAGACAGCCACTGCGGGGTTGTGCTGATGTGAGGGCTGGTGCTAGGAAGCCCCGGATAGGGTGAGACTGCAGTCTGGAAGCTGGGGCGTGGGAATGAGCCAGTCTCAGAAGAGAGTGCCAGAGTGGAAGAGGCAGCCTTGCAGAACCCTGGACTGATAGGGTTAAGGGACTCTCTGAGTGCCAGAAAGAGAAGGTAGTGCATAATTGGGGGTAAGGTGGTGTGTGGCCCTGTGCATTCCCAGAACTGCCCCAGGACATTCTCAGCTTCCTTTTGGGTAGCAAGAAGAAGAAAGTGAAGCCATGCAGGGAGCACTGAAAAACCTGCCTGAGGGGTCCTGAAAATATAGGCTGGACCTGGGCTGGGCTGGATACTTGACTGTCAGGTAAAGGTCCAAAATCTGTTCCCAGGAGTTTGAGACTGCCTTGATTTATTTGAGATAGCCAGGCACATGCTTTCTAGTTCTGCCCCCTCTAGCTGGGTGTTAGAACAGAAAGACGAATGCCATCTCTTCCCATGCCTCAGAATTTTCTATCTGCCATTCTAGACTTGGCCAACCCTTGCTCTGGGAAGCCCTCTTGACTTCCTCCAGACTAGGTCTGGTCCCTGCACCATAGACAGACACAAGATCTGGAAAAGGAAGGGCAGGGACTTGAGGCCAGCACCAAGGGCAGTGAACTGTGTTGCTGCTGGGCAGTGGGGTTGAGTGAGAGGGACTCCTTCCCTCCAGTAGAGGGAGCCATGGCTGCTGGAGAGGCTCAGCCTGGGCAGGCAGGCTGGGTGTGGACTGCAAGAAGGAAGCAGAGCCAGGCACTGTGGCACATGCCTGTAATCCCAGCACTGTAATCCCAGGCAGGAGGATCACCATGAGTTGGAGGCCAGCCTGGACTACATAGTAGGCTCAAGGCCAGCCTAAGCTACATAGTGAAACCTTGTCTCAAAACAAAACAAAACAAAACAAAACAAAATAAAACAGAAGCCTAGGAAGGGGGAGCAAGTTAAGGAGCTTCTGCAGAGCTGGGGCTGTGGGTATAGAGAGCAGGGGAAAGTTGATGTAAGTCCAGTGGCTGGTTTAGGGTGCTGGGCAGTGGGCAAGGCTGACCAGTCCTCTGCCCAGGACCTGCTGAGCTTCTAAGGGGGTCTTTAGGACCAAGGGAAACAGAGGCCAGGGACAATCCAGATTACCACCCCCCTCCCATGTCACACTGCCTGGCTGGTATGGAAAAGGTGTGTTCACTGCCTGTCTTCACAGTCCAGGGTAAGTGCCCCCAAAGACCAGGAGATACAATCTTTTAGAGAGCAAAGGTCCCGAAAAACAAAGCTGTTTTTAAGGGGGGCATCAAGGAAACAGCCAGGGGAAGTACATGTGGCTTTGCTTTGGTAACCAGGCCTGTTTCTATAGGACTTGGCAGCTAGGCCTGGGCTTGAGCCAAGGGGTCAAGATGGGGCTGAGCTAGTGGCTGGGCCATTTGCAGCTCCCTAGGGCTGGCTCCATGATACCAAGAGCTGTGCTTGGAGCTCTGGCTGTAGTGTAGCCTATAGACCACCCATAGCTCAGGCAGGGCTGAGGCCTCTTGAGTTATCTGAAGCTCTTCCCAGGGTGGTCACAGGACTAATGGGACACCCAGGGTGAGCTTGCCCCATTAAGGGCCTAGCATGTACTCTTCGGAGGATGTCTGCCCACACTCCACCTGCATGGAGCTATTTGGTCCTAGCAGGGACTTGCATCTGCAGACTCCCTCCATCCCCCACCCTAGCAGGGTCCACTTGAGCTGACCACTGCTCTGGCTGCCAGCTACAGGGCCTATGTGGGCAGGGACCCTGGCCAAGTTTTACTTAGACCTTCTTGAGGTATATCCTAAAAGAAAAGGGGTTGGGGCTGTGCTCCATGTTCCCCACGAGGGTGATAGCCCAGCAGACCTTATGCTGTGGGGCCTACCCAACTCTCACTCTTCTGAGCTACTCAGAAAAGGAGGCAGTTCAGGCTTCTCAAAAAAAGGAGCTGAGACATTCCATGCTATTGGTGAAGATAATCTCCCACTCCCCATTGGACAGGTAGTGGGGCCCGGGAATGCCTGGGTTGTGGATATGTATACACAAAGACCCCAGTGTCTTGGCCCCAGACTCAGATGTGGCGGGGCAGGGGCTGCCCTGTATTGTCCCCCGGTAGAGAGGGATGGTGGGGTAGACTAGGGAGAGAGTTGCCTTTTCCTGCAACCCATCCTGCCTTGCTCTGGTGGACCCTGGGCACCCTTGGGTGACACTTCCTGTGACACCAAAGGTGGACAGCTCTGTGTTTTTTTTCAGGACCTTTGCTTTCTTTCTTTTTTTTTTTTTTTTTTCTTTTCCAGTACCTGGGATCGAATTCACAACCTTGCACTTGCCAGGCAGGCACTGTGCCACTGAGCTAAATCCCTAGCCCCAAGGACTGCTCTCTAAAAGATTGTTATCTCCTGGTCTTTTGGGGCACTTACCCTGGACCGTGAAGATAGGCAGATGGTGTTACACTTGGAAAGGAGGGACAGGGGAGCTCTGGGGGAAAGATCTTCTGCAGCCACATAACCTTTCCCATTTTGGGATAAGGGTACCAACCCTGGGGAAGGCTGTTCCCCATACATACCAGCACTGGGAACTGTAGGACAGGAGAGGCAGGCTTCCAGGGTACAGAGAATGGCTAGAGAACTGTTAATCTCATTGACAACTTCTTTCCTACCCCAGAGCTCAGCAGAGTGGGGGTGGGGCAGAGGTATCTGCTCCCACTCTGGGGTCCAGGGCACTCCTTGGGACAATTGGTGCTAAGCTGCTGAGGTACTTCCCAGGGATGCTTCCTAGGGGTTTGGCCTGCAGAGCATGCACCTTCCTCTCTGGGTCCTAGAATCCCATGGAAGACTGTTACTGAAAAACTCAGTGCCTGCAGAACCTAGTTGAGAGGAGACCTCAGGCATCTTGCTCAGTTCCAAAATGCTAAGGATACGTACCTGTAATCCCAGTACTTGGGAGGCTGAGACAGGATGATTGCTGTTAGTTTGAGGCCAACCTGAATTATAGAGCAAAACCCTGTCTCAAAAAAAAATAAAATAAAATAAAGTTGGAAATGGATCCCGGCTTCATGGGTGGCCCACACAAATGAGGTTGATGGACTCCAGCCTGGGGACCTGCCTATCCCTAGCTCCATGGCTAGGACTGTATGCATGTGAACTAGGAAATAGCTTCTCAGGCCAAGATGTGGTCCGCCTACCTCCTTCACTGCTCAGCCTGGCTCTTGGGCTGGTCCTGTACACCCCTGCTAGTGTCATTGTTACAGGCCTGGCTGCTATTGGCCCATTCAGGACTTCTGGCTGATTTGCATGTTACCCTGTGTGCCTTTCTGTTCACCTCACCTCAGGGAGAGAGAAGCCAGACACTGCTCTCCTAAGCTGAAGCTGCATGTTCTGAGCTCCCTCTGTCTGTGGGGAGGCTGTCTAATGTCCCAGGGGGAGTGTTTGCTGGGGTCCTGTCTATTGGGTTTGGCGTCACTTGGTGGACCTTCAAGCAGGCATAGTGACCCTGGGAGCTAGCAGGGAGGGGATCAGATGGGTTTGTGAAATTTACAAGGGGCCCCCATGTGAGCCAGCTTTTGGGTTCCCAAAAGCAATGAAACTTTGCTGCTCATGGGCGAGTCCTAGAGCTCTCAGCTTCAGGCTGTCTGGGGCTCCTAGTAGCAGGGGCTTCCCCACTCACTCAGAGTGGCAAGCAGATCTCCTGGCCACCCATCCTAGACCTTCCTGCTAGAGGGGGAGGGGAGACACAGCTAGAGTCAAAACAATGCTTCTGGACTTACCACGTTCACATCTCTACCTCAGGGTTGTCTCCTCTGGGCCTGTCTGCAGGCCCAGGCTGTCCTTGAAGAGCTTAGTCTTAGGCACACAGCCAAACCCTGAAATCAGAGTTAGACCAGGGTTATGGGTGGGGCAGCCTCTGTTGGGTACTGAGGCTGGTGTAGGGGCAGAGGAAGCCAGTGTGGTGGAACTAAGTGTGTACGCTGATAGGTCAACAGTAATGAGTATGGCAGGGACCTGGGACTGAAAGAGGGCGGCCTTGGGTAAGCTCTTGGGATCCCACCCACCCACCTAGACCCAAGGGTGCTCAGAGCCAGGGGCCAGGTGACAAGCACTGCTGACTGAAAGGCTCAAGAGCTATCCCTAACCTGCAAGATGATTGTTTGAGGCCTAAGCCCTGAAGGCTGAGGAGTCCCATAGCAGATGGGTGGCACTGCAGATGGCAGTTGAAGAGGCAAGTGGAGCCTGGGCATGGTAGGGAGAAAAGGACAGGCAGTCAGCAGAGGTGGTGAACAGAGCAGGAGTGAACCCCACCTTGTGAACCCTGGGGCTGAGGTGAGGACTACTGCGTGGGCCAAGACATACTTTGTGGCCATGGTGGTGGGTGACAGTGCTATCCTAGAGTGTGTATGCTAGGTGGAAAACATCAAGGGCCTGTTAGAAAAGATGCCAGAAGCAGCTAGGCTGTCTCCGTGCTGTATTCTGCAGGGCTGGGCCACAAACAGGCATGCCCACTTCTTGGTGCAGAGTAGGGCCCTGGAGGGTGATCCAGCCAGACCTTCCTGGAGCTTGTTGTTTTCCTGTTCCTTCCCTATCTGACAGAGCCTTGGTACAGGCCGCTGGGATAGGCACTCCACTGGCAGTCTCCCCTCAGGGAGAAAACTGGTTCAGAGGCCCCATCCTTGGGCAGGGAACTTGGGGTGTATGTTACTGGGGGCTGCAGTAACCCTTGGGTGGGACAGTGCACATAGGCCAGATGGCAGGATTCATAGTGTGTGGCCTTCCTCCCCAGAGAGCTCCTTTGTGACCATGGCAACTCCACTGTGGTGGGAGACAATTCCCCCAGCCCCACCCTGGCAGCTTGCAGACTGCTGGTTCCTGAGAGTGGGGACCCTGCTTCAAGGGGGTGCCTGTTGTGCAGCAGGGCAGGGAGGGATCGTCTTAACAGTGGACAGATCCATTCCTGCAACCTGTCCTGAGTGTGACCAGCCTCCCTTTCTCTTTAATCTTCCTTTTCCTGCAGGTGCCCCAGGCCTGGCGTGCCAAGGGGCACAGTCCCCCTGGCCCCAAGCCAGAGCCTCTCTTTCGGGGAGGGTGGGGATTGTTCATGGCCCTTGTGTGTTTCCCACATCTTTCAGCCCCCAGCCCCTGAGCTGCTCCATTTGTGGCACTGGTAACCCGTATGAAGTTGAAAGTTGGGGCTCCCCTCTTTCCTGTGATTTTCTTCATGTGGCTATGCTTAGAAGTTGGGCTCCAGTTACTTCAACTCATGGGTTCTCTGAAGTGTGACCAGTGCCCTGCCATCTTACAGACTGGGTCTGGCCACGTCATGACAGCACCTTCTGTGGCTCGAAACATTTGTCTTACCGTGGGTGGTCCCTGTATGACAGGAATCTAATATGTGCCACATCTGGGCCAGGTGCAGTGGGCAGGTAGAGATATCCACTGAGGCCCAACCTTGGCTCCAGGGACATTTGGCCTGCAGAGGGGCAGGCCTGAAAGTGACCAGCTATGACTCAGGACCCAGAGGAGCAGACAGTGCAGGTGGGGGTGTCTCCATCTCTGGGGTAAAGAGCTGGGTAGGCTGGGTGTGCTCTTCAGGGCTCAGCCTAGGGGGATGGTGAAGCTGAGGGCTGGTTGTCCTCGTGGCTCCACCTGCCTGATCCTGGGTCTTGTGCAGACCGGGGCAGGAAGAAGGGCTCTTGTCTGTTGTGGTCCCACCAAATTAGGCCTTCTCCTATCCCACTAAGTGGGATAGGAAAAGGCCACCGTGAGCCCTGCAGTGGACCCGCCAGGGCAGGATGCAGACTCTCAAGCCCCTCATTCATGTCCCATCTGCAGGGGATGCTGCCCAAGGACCCCGCATGCCTCTCTAGAGCATGAGCTCGGGCAAGAGCACCCGCTACAACCGCTTCTCTGGGGGTCCCACCAACCTTCCTTCCCCAGACGTCAGCACCGGGGTAAGGGGCTGCCCTCTTTGCACACTCCTGCCCCAGGCCCCCAGCATGCTCTGATAACTTGAAACTGACTGTGGAACTTTCAGATGGGCGGGTATATATGTGCTATTGGTGGGTCCTGGCAGTGCATGCATATGGCTGGGCCATGGGGAAGCATGTTAGTGCGTGTCCATGTTCTCTCTTAGACCAGAATGGAAACGACCTTCGGGCCTGCCTTTTCAGCTGTCACCACCATCACCAAAGGTGAGCCCGTGAGCCTGCACATGGGAGGAAGCTGGGCCCCCCAGCCCTAGGGGACACTTATTGGTGTGGTGGGAGCTCCATCCTGATGTTAGATAATGGGCCGTCAGCCTCTTACCTCTGTTCCTTGCTGTGTTCAATTCTGGGCTGTCCCCTGCTAGACAGGAGACAGAGCATCCCACTCTGATGCTTTAGCCCCTGCTGTTGTCTTTCCCCCGTGTCCTGGCATCATCTGGCGCCTGGCCCAGCACCTCTCCACTGAGGGCTGTCCTGATTTTCCTGGCACCACAGCCACATCCATCCCTTGTCACAGTGACCCATAGCTCATTCCCAACCCCAGGCTCCTAACCCTTGAGAAGCTGTGGGACCTTCTCTCAGGTGTGGTCCTAAACCTCAACCCTGCATTGTTGTCCAGGAGTTTGGAGGAAATGGCAGACCATACTGCACACCTCCTGGAGGCACAAGGCCAAATGGACCTGCATTTAGGCCAGGATTCTGGGGAGAGTGTGTTGTCTTTTCTGTCTGGTGCCCAGCCACTGCAGGAGGTCATCGGTTGCTAACTGGCTTTTTAATTGTCTTGATAGTGTTTTCTCTGGGTAAACCTAGCCACCAGGTACACCTGCTCATGCCAGTTCTTCCTGCTGCACGTGCAGCATGGCCTTCTCATGTGGCTTTTTCTGAGGAAAAAGATACCATCCCGAGTTGCCTTCCCAGAAGAGACTTTCTTTTTTTTGTTGTTTGTTTGTTTTGAGATAGGGTCTCATTATGTACAGTAGTTCAAGGGCTGGCCTTGAACTCACTAGCTCACGTGGCCTCAAACTCCTGGAGATCCTCCTGCCTCAGCCTCCTGATTGCTGGGATTACAGGTGAAAGCCACTATGACCAGCTAAGAGACTTTCTTCTCATCAAATTTTTTGGGGGGTTTTATTTGTTTTCTTGGAGACAGAGTCTTGCTAAATTAGAACGTGCTATCTTTCTACCTCAGCCACCCATTAAGTTTACTTTTATTTATTTATTTTTGAGACAGGGTTTTACTAAGTTGCTCAGGCTGGGCTTGAATTTACAACCCTCCTGCCTCAGTCTCCCATAGTGCTGGGATTATAGGTGTGTACCACCATTCTTGGCTCAGGAGGGTCTTCTTTCAAAGCTTCTACAAGGCCCATCACCCACCCTGGCCTGGGGTACTCTACCAAGCTGAGGTGCACAACCAATGCCAAATGATGACCCCCGAGTAAGACCACATCTTTGACCTTCAGGGTAACTTCCAACTAAGTTCTCTGATGGCCCATGGTCTTCAGCTGGTATATGGTAGGGCCAGGACCACATCTTGTTGATCTGGTCCTCCTGCCTCATTCGCTGATATGGCCAGAACCACAAACAGGCCACCCGTTTTTGGGCTTCCCAGGGAAGATGATGAGGAGCTCTCTGTTCTCCTCCCCACACTACCTCCAGTCAGTCTGGCCAGAGGGCAGGGCAGCCCTGTCATTTCCATGTGGAGGCCCCCATCACTGGCCCTATAGGCAATAGCTTTGGGGACAGGGGACTCACTCCCTCCGCCAGATGCCCCGGAGTAGATGCCACCAGGCCCAGCGAGGTCCAGCTGTCAAAACAACTAGACCCAAAGGTCTGAGCTCAAGATCAGGGCTTTAACTGCCTGCCCTTGACTGGGCCTTAGTTTCCCTATCTGTACAAGAGGGGTCAGATGAGACATCACTGGTGCCTTGCTGCTCAGCTGACCTCCTACCACCACCACCACCCAGGGATAAGAATATGAGGGTACAAGGAGCATTCTCTGTCCTTAGAGACTTCAACATTTGTGACCGGTACCATATGGTCTGTAAAAGTAGATGCATGGGGCCAGGGATGCAGCTCAGTGGTACAAGCACCTGCCTGGCAAGCACAAGATCCTGAGTTTGATTTCTGGTACCAAAAAGAAAAGAAGTTGATTCATGAAGCTGGGCATGGTGGCACATGCTGTAATCCCAGCACTTGGGAGGCTAAGGCAGGGGGATTGTTGTGAGTTCGAGGCCAGCCTGGGCTACAAAGTGAGTTCAAGGTCAGCCTGAACTGCATAGTGAGACCCTGTCTCAAAAAAAAAAAAAGCTCTGGGTTTAGAGCCAGGGATGTAGCTCAGCAGCAAAGCACCTCCCTGGCAAGCGCAAGGTTGTGAGTTCGATTCCCAGTACCAAAAAAAAGCTTTGAGTTTAATCTCTAGTAAAGAAACAGCAGCAGTATCTTCTCCTGGAGTAGTCAGGACAGGGGCCCAGGAACCTCGTAGCCGCACTCCTGGCATTGGCTTGACCTTGGGATACAACCTTAGCACTGCCTCCCAGTCCCTGCTGGAGATAGCCACAGGGCCCCACATACTACACAGGCTGCACCAGCTCTGTCTGCCCTCTGCCTGGCCCATTACCCCAGTTTGGGTCTGGTCTGTACAGCCTGTTCTCATGTTTCCCGGCCCTCCCCTTCTCTCTTCTCTCGCAGCTGATGGGAGCAGCACGTACAAACAGCACCGAAGGACACCTTCCTCCTCCAGCACCCTTGCCTACTCCCCGAGGGATGAGGAGGACAGCATGGTAGGCCTTGGCTTCCCCTTCGCCCTCTCCTATAGACCAGGCCCAGGGGATGCTGACTGTAGGCCAGTGGCAAGAACTTGAGTCCAGGCCAAAGGAACAGCACATGTGGACAGCAAGGCTTGAACACATGTGGTGAGACCCTGAGACCAACAGGAGGCCCCTGGGCCTGGCAGTGGAGGCAGCAGGCAGCCAGTTTGGAGAGCTAGGCTAGAAGGCATGCGTATTTGAAGACCAGAACAAGGCACATTTGGTACCATCTTAAGTAAGGAGATGACAGGGTAAATACCATGTTTTGAAAGCTTCCTTTGCTACTGAGGTGAGAGTGAGTGGGGTTGCAGGAGGTTGAAGAGGGGGTCTTGACTAGGAGACATGGACACATCAGCTGGAGAAGGAGGGTGGACCCAAGTTGTGGAGTCAGCAGGGCAATGGGGCTTCGGAGCCTCTGCTAAGCCCTGGGAAGAGCCGGAGAACACCCTGCTTCTGGCTGTGTGAGAAAAGAAGAGTTCTGGGCTGTTGGCTGGCTGTAGGTACCTGAATCATGTGGGCAGGCTCCTGGTGGCCATTCCCTGGCAGAGGAGTCACTGGTGCTCAGAGCACAGGCTCTGAGACTGCCAGAGGAGTAGGGGCTGACCCTGGTAGGACTGAGCCCTAGGGTGCAGAGGGGCAGAGTGGCCTAGAGGCAGGGGAACTGGACACACTCCTTTGTGCTTACACTTGCTTTACCTGGTACACTGTCCTTGCTGGGCATGGCAGTCTGCTGGTGGCTTCAGCTGGTTCTCCAACACACGCAGGCTTCCTCAAGACTGAGGCATCTCCTTGTCCTGTGGCCAGACGTTTTTTTTTTTTCTTAATAGGAAGAAAACCCATTTTTAGTGAAATAAGCAAGCACACAGAGGTTGTCCATGAGGTCCCAGGGAGTCAGGTAGACCAGTGTCCTGATCTTCCAGCGTCTGCCTGTTCCACGTGAGGTGGCTGGGCCTTCTTCCACCTCAGCCTGTGCTCAGGAGATTGTGATCCCAGGAGGGGCCCTTGACTGGTGGGCAGATGTGAGCAGAGCTCCCCACCTACTCCTGTCTGGCCTTGCTCTTGCCCCTCTGGATTTCTTCAGTAGCTGTGGGGATATCTGACTCACTTCCTCTTACTTTTTCTCTGTTCCTCATGTGGCATTTCCATATGGACAGGCCACATGGGGCACTGTGGAGGGACATGGGACACCATCCTGTATGGAAGCATGTGTCCCTTTTCTCTGCTACCTGCTCAGGGACACCCAGTCTGGGACTGGCTATGCCTCTGCACTATGGAGCGTCACACCTGGGCTGGCAGGGAGTGGGCTCTTTCCCTCAAGTTTTTGCAGCGTGGGGGATGGGGAAAGGGGTGGGGTTTACATGCTGCTTCTCAAAGGTCGTGGCTTAAGAGTGTGGCTGCCAGTTCTATCAGAACCTGGAGGAAGAAGCTATGGGAACCAATAGATGTTAGAAAGTTTTGGAGGTTTCTAGGGCCAGAAGGCAGGAAAGGACAGTGCCTGCCTTTTCCTCCTCGTGCCCTCCAGACCCTCACTGTGAGTGGCTCAGGAAGTGGTAGGCACCTGTGCCCTCACCTCAGTGCTCAGGCCCCTCAGCCAGGGCTCAGTGGAAATGCTGTCCCTGCTTCCTCTGTGAGCCTCCCAGCCTGGGGCCAGTGTCCCCTGGACGGGGATGCCAGGCAGGATCTGGAACCTGGCAGCCTCTCCTAGTTCTGCTTTCCATTCCCTTCCATCTAGCAGTCCAGGGGCCTGTGGGTGCTCTGGGATTGGCTGGTGGAGCCACCCCCTCTGTGGCCCATGTTCCCTCACAGGAAGCAGGAAGCAGCCTGAGTGTGTCCTCGTAGAATTGAATAGCAGGAAGTCTCTCCATTTACACAAAGAAAGTTGGCAGTGGAGAGCGAGCAGCCCGACATCAGGGCCCAGGCAGGCAGGCGTGGGACTAGGGCTGCACCGGCCACGGCCCCTGTGTCCCTGAGAGTACCCACTGGGACAAGGTGGCCCAGGGCTGCTGTGCCCTCCAGCCTGCCCACTGCACAGAGCCTCCTGATGGGTTGCCTATCTCTGTGCAGCCCCCCATCAGCACCCCCCGCCGTTCCGACTCAGCCATCTCTGTCCGCTCCCTGCACTCCGAGTCCAGTATGTCCCTGCGCTCCACGTTCTCACTGCCTGAGGAGGAAGAGGAGCCGGTAGGTGTGGGCAGCTGGCTGTGGAGGGTCTTCCAGGGTTGTCACTGTGCTGCAGTGCCGCGGGGCATCTTCTCAGGCCCGGCCAGGGCCTCTGGTCCTCCCTGGTACACATTGGGACTGTGGGGCCAGGCCAGGCCCCCTAGACACAATCTCCTCACCCATCTCAGGAGGCCCTTTCTACTCTTCATCCCACAGGAAGGGCAAGTGAGAGCAGGGGAAGGCTGTGGTGTGCCTGCTGCCCACGGTGCTGGACACAGCCCTTTCTGTTTGAGCTCTGCCTCTGTGGCCACAGCTCCTGTTTCCTCTCCTTGGCCTGCTCAAACCAGCCCCTACCCCCAGCCTCAGTGTCCTCTCAGGATAGGACTCAGCTGATTGGGATCAGCCGAGTGGCCAGGGTGGCATGACTGCGGGTGGCCTCCCTGGCCATGTCTGTATCCTGGCCCACCTCCCTTTCACCATCCTTTGCCCTGCTTGTTTCAGGAGCCACTGGTGTTCGCCGAGCAACCATCAGTGAAGCTGTGCTGCCAGCTCTGCTGCAGTGTATTCAAGGACCCTGTGATCACCACATGTGGGGTAAGGCCACCCTGTGGGGCCCCTTCCCCCTACCTAGATTGCTCACCCCAACTCAGGGCAGTGGGCTGTTGGCCCACTTCCTATAGCCCTGGGCCTTTGTCATACACCTGGTCTGGCTGCCCAGCAGGTGCCTTCTGCATTGGGCATAGGCTGATGAACCCTGAGCTGCCCCTGGGTTTAACATGAGGTGAGGACTGTGCCTGTACCCTACATCTGTCCTTTGTCTCCACAGCACACGTTCTGTAGAAGATGTGCCTTGAAGTCAGGTAGGTCTCTCCTTCCCATCTGGGCCTGGCCACCTTGTTATAAAGTAGGAGTGGGTGGTCTCAGTCCTGCTTGGGTCCCTGGCTGATAAGCAGAGGCCATGGCTCATTCCTAGCCCTTGAGAGGTTGTAGGGTTCCCTCTCAGGTGTGGTTCCATGCCTCAGCCCCATATTGTGGTTCAGAAGGTTGGAGAAGGTGGCAGGATGTACAGCCTGTGCAATGTCCAGCACTCTTGGCTTCTGCTGTGCCTGGGCCAGGACTGTGGGTACTCAGACCAGGCTCAGAGCCTCCACAGTGTGCACTGAGAGCCAGAACTCCTGCCATCTCCATACCGAGAGCCCTCCCCAAGGCAGGCATGGGATGGGACCTCCCAGTGTTGGCACCTACACTTTTTAAAAGATGGCATCCTCACCAGCTGCTCATGCCTCTGGCTGGCTTGCTCCATGCCACTGATAAGCCTACTTGACTTCCCTTCCACATCCTGTCTTCTGTTCCCTTGGCCCTTCCCAACACCTTACCAGCTTACCCGAGAGGTTTCCATGACCGCCTCATCCTCCTAGCTGACCCAGCTCTGTACCTAGTCCTGTGCCTCAGTGGGACAGATGGCTTGGTGACTCATGCACCTAGAAGGCTCATGCCCACCTGGGGCAAACGGGGGTGGGGGTGACAAGGGAGGCTGTAGGGTTAGTATGCTGCCCCTCCCCAGAGAAATGTCCTGTGGACAACGCCAAGCTGACAGTGGTGGTGAACAACATTGCGGTGGCTGAGCAGATTGGGGAGCTCTTCATCCACTGCAGGCACGGCTGTCGCGTGGCAGGTGTGGGGAAGCCCAGCGTCTTTGAGGTGGACCCCCGGGGGTGCCCCTTCACCATAAAGCTCAGCGCCCGAAAGTAAGTATCCCCCATCCCCAGTTCCTAGCTTTACCATTGGGCCTTGGCTCAAACCTTGGGTCCCATCTTCACACAGGGATCACGAAAGCAGCTGTGACTACAGGCCAGTGCGCTGCCCTAACAACCCCAGCTGTCCTCCCCTCCTCAAGATGAACCTAGAGGCCCACCTCAAGGAATGCGAGCATATCAAGTGTCCCCACTCCAAGTACGGGTGAGTGGGTGGGGGTGGGTGGGATCCCAGGTTCATGGCTATACTGGTGGCCATGGCAGCATTACTGGGTGAGAGAACCTGTGTGCTGGGCCTGGAGGGATGGACCTGAGCCAGGAGCCGGATGTGACGCCATAATCACAACCGAGATCCAGGGGCCCAAGAGAGTTGAGCCCCATGGCAATGCAGAAAAGGGACTGGGCAGGATGGGGAGCTGAGGCCTTGGGGAAGGTGTGCACAAGGATGTACTAGAGGCTGGCTTAGCATGGCAGATTGAGCAGAGTTGTGAGCAGAGAGGAGGAGCTCGGTTTTCAGAGCAGGGAGGCCAATGAGAGTTGATTTTATTCCCAGGGTGGGAGAGCACTTAAAGCACACTGAAGGCTCATGATTGGATTTTGCTGGTAAAATAGCTGCAAAGGTCTGGCAAGTGGGAGAGCAGCTGGATCTGGGGGTGGTGGGCCTTGCAGTGGAAGATTCTTAAGGGTTTCTTGGGGTTAGGAAGATGGGAAGGGTCCTACTGGGCAGGCAGGTGGGCAGCTGTCCTGTCCCCCCGCTCCAGGTGTGCATTCATTGGGAACCAGGACACATATGAGACACATCTGGAGACGTGCCGCTTTGAGGGCCTGAAGGAATTCCTGCAGCAGACAGATGACCGCTTCCATGAGATGCATGTGGCTCTGGCACAGAAGGACCAGGAGATCGCCTTCCTGCGCTCTATGCTGGGCAAGCTCTCAGAGAAGATCGACCAACTAGAGAAGAGCCTCGAGCTCAAGTTTGGTGAGGACCAGCCTGGAGGGCACAGGGTACAGCCAGTGTGCCTGACCCCAGTGACGCCTCCTCTCCTGCCGCTCAGATGTCCTGGATGAGAACCAGAGCAAACTCAGTGAGGACCTCATGGAGTTCCGGAGGGATGCATCCATGTTGAATGTGAGTGGAGTGGGGGGCTAAGGGTGATTGAGATACAGAAGGGCGAGGTTGGGCCCCATGGGCAGCCCTCCCCCACTGGCCTCTGCCCCCACTAGTTGGGATTAGGGGCCTGAGTTCTGGAGAGGGCTGCTCCCACCCCTGGCCAGTGCCAGGCCTCAGCTCTGTGGCTATACTCGTGGCCATGGCAGCTTCATCCATTTGCCCTCCACTGCTTTTGGCCTTGCAGGATGAGCTGTCCCATATCAATGCACGGTTGAACATGGGCATCCTAGGATGTGAGTATAGTCCACCGCCACCTTCACCTGCTGTCCCTAGGACCCCACTGGGTCCCTCACTATCTTCTCCATTCTGCAGCCTATGACCCTCAACAGATCTTCAAATGCAAAGGGACTTTTGTGGGCCACCAGGGTCCTGTCTGGTGTCTCTGTGTTTACTCCATGGGTGACCTGCTCTTCAGCGGCTCTTCTGACAAGACTATCAAGGTGGGTAGAATCCTGCCCCATGGTCTCTGTAGCCTTGCCAGGCTGGGTTGGATACTGCATGCTGGCCTTACCAACTTGTGCCTGCCTAGACAGGGCCCTTTCCCTTGGCTGGCTGCCATCCTTACCTTGCAATTGGCACTGAGATGACCCTTTCTGGAACCTACTCTGACCCTGGTTTTTGCAGGTGTGGGACACCTGTACCACCTATAAGTGCCAGAAAACACTAGAAGGCCATGATGGCATTGTGCTGGCTCTCTGCATCCAGGGGTGAGTCTGGACACTGTGCCTCTTGACCTTGGAGACAGGAGACAATGTGCTGCTACTCCCTGGGTCATAAGCCATGAGCTTGAGCCTGTGCAGTCTGACTCCCACCCCGTGGGGTGCCCTCAACCCTGAGCAGTGCCAGTCTTTGTGGCATTGTGTAGGCTGCTCCATTGCCAGAATTGTGTGTTCACAAAGCCCTGGCCCTGGCAAGCCTTAGGTGGCCAGAGGCTGGCAGTAGAACTCTTAGAAGATTAAGGCAGGGGTGTAAGCATAGTGTGACCAGTGTAGCTGGGGCTCCATGGAACAGCTTCCCCAGCCACCTCCTTGTTTTGGATGTCCTCTTGCCTAGACCTGCCCTGTTGGTTCATGTTGGAGACCATGTGTAAGCATTCATGTGTGTGTACTGGAAGCAGCAGCTTGGGTGGTAGTAGTCAGCCCTAAGACTTAGTGTTAAGGGTAGGGACTCCTTTCCAGTGGTCAGATACTGTCTAGGCAGGCCTCAGGGACTAGGCCACCACTTCCAAAGTCCCCACACAGATAAGGCCTGGCTCAGGAAAGTAACATTGGTCCTGGTACTGGGCCAAGGTGCTGGTTCCTATGGCCCAGACAGGACAGTGTCAGCCAGGACAGTGGCTTTCCCTGCCCTCATACACTGACTTTGCTTCCCCAGGTGCAAACTGTACAGTGGCTCTGCAGATTGTACCATCATTGTGAGTAGGGCCCACAGGCAGGCGGTTGTGGGAGGAGGTGGCCCAGCAAGCATTTTCTCCTCAGTGCTCTAGGCTCCAGGTAGCAGGGCTGGCCCTGAGGCTTGCCATCCATCCCTTAGGTGTGGGACATCCAGAACCTGCAGAAGGTGAACACCATCCGGGCCCATGACAACCCTGTATGCACGCTGGTGTCCTCTCACAACATGCTCTTTAGTGGCTCCCTGAAGGCCATCAAGGTACAGGCAAAGGGCATCCATATACATCTGGGCCACTGGGTGCCCACTCAGCCCCTGCTCATAGCCACTTCCACAGGTCTGGGACATCGTGGGCACTGAGCTCAAGTTGAAGAAGGAGCTCACAGGCCTCAACCACTGGGTGCGGGCCCTGGTAGCAGCTCAGAGCTACCTGTACAGTGGCTCCTACCAGACAATCAAGGTATACAGAGCCATCCTGTTGGCAGGGCCACACTCTCTGCCTCACTTCCCAGCTGGCCTCTGAAGGTTCCCTCTGCCCTGTGCTTATCATGATACATGGACCCCTGCATGGGTGGGCTGCCTCCTGGTATCTAACTGGACTGGGACCAAGTGGCCACATTTGCCTGTAGATCTGGGACATCCGGACCCTTGACTGTATCCACGTCCTGCAGACGTCTGGTGGCAGTGTCTACTCTATTGCTGTGACGAATCACCACATTGTCTGTGGCACCTATGAGAACCTCATCCACGTAAGGGCCAGGTGCCTGAGGGAAGGACTGACTCTGGGCTCCCTCGTTTTGGGTCTCTGACTGGCCTGTGCCTGCCCCCTCTCAGGTGTGGGACATCGAGTCCAAGGAGCAAGTGCGGACCCTCACAGGCCATGTAGGCACCGTGTATGCCCTGGCAGTCATCTCAACACCAGACCAGACCAAAGTCTTCAGTGCATCCTATGACCGGTCCCTCCGAGTATGTGCTAGCCCAGTCGCAACAGCAGGAGGCCCAGAAAGAGGGTGGTTGGGCCTAATCAGACCCTCACATCCTATGTGCCCCCCAGGTCTGGAGTATGGACAACATGATCTGCACACAGACCTTGCTCCGCCACCAGGGCAGTGTGACTGCTCTGGCCGTATCCCGGGGCCGGCTCTTCTCAGGGGCTGTGGATAGTACCGTGAAGGTCAGTGCCTATGGTCCAGGCCATTCAAAGGAGCTGCACAGATGAGCGGGTGGGGTGGGGGTGGGGGAACAAGGAACTGGAAGCATCAAGCAAGCTGCAGTGGAAGGCAAGTGTTATCACCAGGTATCCCTGGAGCACAGGGGTACCTGAAACAGAGCCCTTTCCTTGCAGGTTTGGACATGCTAACAGAATCCAAGCCAGGCCTCAGCTCCCTCTGGGCCTTGCCTGAGCCAAGCTGGTCACACAAGGTGGCCTTTGGGTTTCTGCCTGCCATGTGAGGACAGGTAAATGTGCTCAAGTGACCAGGCAGTGTCCACCCTGCTCCACACTCTGCAAGCCTCCTTCTGCTTGGTCCTGCCTTCACTCTTGCCAGGGCAAGGCCCAGGCCCCTCTGGGTGCCAGGTACGACACTCCAACCCATCCTTCATCTACACTCCAGATGAACTGAGAGCCTTTTTACTCCACCTTTTCTACTGTTTTTAGACTGTATATAGATTTGATTACTTCCTGATTGAAATAAAAGTGGCACAGACTGTGGCTGTTGAGTAGGGAGAAGTCCTGGGGGTGTGCACAGGCACCAGCAGTGTGTGAGGGATGTCAGGTCCTTCCTTCTCTGCAGGAGGGCCAACAAACTTGGCTCCTGGCTTCTAGTCCCTGTGCCCCATTTTCCCCATCACAACAGCCTCAAAGAGTGAACCAAGCAGCTCCGATTTCTGCTGTTTATTGACAGCCAGCTGACATCAGCTCCCTGCCCAGACAACCCCCCGTCCCCACCTGCCAGTGCCCCAGCCTGGGCTGCCCACTGATGGCTGACTGGTCAACTCACCAGGAAGCCCCAGGTGTGACAGTTGGAAGAGGACCCGTGCCCAGACGTCACCCTACCTGGCCCCCTCCACCAGCCTGCAGCACAATTGCTGGTTTTCAGCGGTTTTTAAATTTTTTTTTTAAGAAATGTCAAAGTTGTGCCCAACACTTGTGGATCAGCAAACACGATAGAGGAGACCAGTCAGTACTTTTTAGAGGGAGGAAAGAGGAGGAGAGAGGACGAAAATGACCACACAACACAGCCTGGACCATGAGCAGAAGCATCCATAGGAACTGAATGAGGCCCTGGGAAGGGAGTCAGATGCCCTCACACTCACATCTACCCACAGCCTGGCATGCATACCCCTGCACCCATACTGCTGTCACTTGGCTGACATGCCCGCGATCACATGCTACCCCAGGGCACTCCTACCAGCAACCCCAGGGCATGGCCAGCCCAAGAGGAAGAAGCCTTCCCCATAATCAGGGGCAGAGGACACAGCCCGTCAGCCAGCAAGGCACATCCTTCAAGTTCTTCCAATGCAGAGAAGTTACAAGAGGGGAGCAGGGGAGAGACCCTGGGCAAAGCCCCTCCCATCTCCTATGTGTGTTCATGGCCAGGGTATGGCCACTCCTAGATATAGGGAGGGAAGGACACACAGCTAGATGGCCTGGGTCCCTGACAGCTTTAGTCTCAAGCTGGGCTCCAGTGTCCTTTCAGTTGGTAAATGGTTTTCTAATATAATCAATAATATTTCTTCTTTCTTTAAATATATATTTGTTAAAGTTATACCTTTTTGTTTCTCTGGGGAAATCTGCCTTAGCTCATTCCCAATAAATTAATACTTTTGATAGCTTATATTCTTGGGGTGCAGTGAGGCAGCCAACCTTGGCCCCCTGTCCCTTGTGCTGCGCCAGAGCGGCTGGCAGAGGTTCCCCAATGGGCAGTTCTGTGCTGGGCATAGGCCTGTGCTCTGCCACAGATTGGGGTGGGGGTGACAGCAGCTGCCCCACCTCACCTACATGGACCAGGGAGGGGCAGCCCTCCACTCACTCGGAGGTGCTGGCTGTGGCCCAGCAGTTATTGCACAGGGAGCAGCAGACAGGGCTGGGCACCACAGGGCAGCGTGTCCACCCAGAGCCCTTGGAGCCCCTGGCCAGGCGGTCTTGCAGGCGGGCACCAGTCGGGGCCAGGACGAGAGTTGTGCTTGTGCCGAGGGTTGGGCAACCCTGCCCGCCCGCGCCCGGAGGGTTCCGTCCTGAGGTAAAGGTCAGTGTGCAGGCTGGAGCCCGGGGGCAGCGGGTCAGACGAGGATGGCCACCTCACTCCAGCATGGCGTCCAACTGGTCGGCCAGGTCGTCGAACATGCTGCCGATGTCATCTAGGATGCTGCCAGTGCTCTTCTCCGTGGCCGCAGAGGGGCTGGGGGTGGACCCCCGTGAGCGAGGCCGGACAAGCACAGGACCCACCCCTTAAACCAGGATGCCTCTACCTGGGAGAGGTCACCCCACCCCAACACATGGTCTCGCCGAGAAGCCCGCCCACCCGAGCCAAGTCGGACCTCCCAGTCCCTGCATGCCCCTCCTACCGTGAGCCCTGTCCATCCTCCTGCCGGATCTTCTCCTCCACCGCTTGCAGCGCAGCGGCCAAGCAAGCACTGGTCTCCTCCAGCTTCTGCCGCGCGCTGTCCCCGGGCGAGGCGCCGTCCAGCACTGCGGGAGCCCCAGCAGCAGCGACAGCAGCAGCGGCACGCGGGGGCTTGGCAGGCACCTGCAGCGCAGGCGCGCCAGGGGATGGAGGCTTGGCGGGGCTGGCGCTCAGTGAGGGTGGCGTGCTGGCCGGCTTGGCCAGGGCAGCGGGTGGCTGGCGCGCTGGCGAGGGCGTGGGCGACGGGGTGGTGCTACCTGACTGCAGCCCTGCCGTAGCCTTGGCTGGTTTAGGTGCCGTGGGGGGCGGTGGTGGCTTGGGAGACACGGGAGGTGGCGTACCGTGTGCGCGTTTCACTTCTGTGGAGAGGGTTGTGTTGGCACCCCTGCCAGTACATGCACGCTGGGAAGCAGAGACTGCCCCCTGCCCCAGTCTTCCCAGGGCAAACCTGTTTTCATCACTGCTTCCCAACTCCCTCCTCCCTAGGTGTGACCTGCTAGAGCCACATGGCCCTCTAGATGTTTGAATCAAGGGCCTTTGCACCTCCATCCTACCTGGAATCCCACCCCTATACCCTCCTGCGCCTGGGTGCTTCCAGTCTTGGGCTGGCAAAGTTGTCACAAGATAGATGGAAGGTTGAGGGTGTGCAGACACTCCCACCCTACCCCACCTGGGCCTCATCAAATCCCTCAGACCATGGGATGATCTTGCCCACCCCTAGCAGACTCCCTGCACCTACCTGGGCTGCCCGGACCAGGCAGGGGCACCTTCTTGGAAGAGGGCGTGGGTGAGCCCTGAATCTTGGGCACAGGCTGAGTCAGGACAGGCTTAGGGGAGACGGGCGGCTTTGCTGGCTTTCGGGCATCACCTTCTGGCAGGGGCAGTGGGGGCAGGTGTGCCAGGTCAGTGGGTGGGGGCTCAGCAGGTGGAGGCGGAGGAGGCAGCTCTGGGGGTCCAGCTTGTTCTGAAGCTGGGCGGCGTCGAACTGTGGCTGTGCCGTTCTGATACACAGACAGTGATGGGAGGGGCTCAGAACCAGCCTCCCGCTCCTTGGCCTTAGGGCGACGCTTGACTGTGTCAGACTCAGTCAGGATGAACTTGACATTTTCCTGCTGGTTCTGCTTGGCTCGGATGCGCCTCTTTAGTGTGGCACTGGCCTCCACCCTGGCCAGGGGTGGGCCATCAACACTTGCCTCTCCCTTGCCTGGACCCTGAGGCCGCTGCCGGGCCTTACCATCTTCCACAAAGTGGCCTTGATCTGTTGGCTCCCCCGGCCCCTGGCGGGCAGTGGCCAGAAGTCCAGTGACAGGCCCACTGAGTGTGCGGCGCCGGTTCACCACCTCGCCATCAGGCCCAATGGCCTCCTTGTGTTTCACTGAGGCTAACACCGTGGCCACCCGGCCTGGCTCTGGACTGGCAGGATGAGGTGTGGGGTGGCCCTCAGGAGGCCTACGGGCAGCCCGGCCACCACCCCCAATGGAAGACAGCTCAAGCATGGCCGCGATGCTCTTCACACTGCCAGCACTGCCTGTGTCCACACTACCAGCCAGGTCACTAGCCCGCCGGCGCTGTGCCCGGACCCCTAGCCGGTCGTCCTCAGTTTCAGCATCTGGAGCTGGCTCATCAGCCAGGTTAGCACTGGCCATGGCTGAGCTGGAGCGCTTGGGTGGGGGTGGTGGGGGACCCTTCTTGCGGGGCCGAACTGCAAAGGACTGGCTGCGGTTTACGTTCTTGTCAGTGCCAGCAGGTGCCCTCACCGAGTGGCTGCGGCCCACACGCCGCTGGACTGTGGCATAGGGTCCTGCAGCAGCAGGAACCAGCAGCTCATCCCGCTCTGGCTCACTGTCAGATGCTGCATAGCGGTTCAGGCTGTGAGCACGCTTCTTGGGCCTCCCAGGCTCTGCCTCAGCCTCAGAGGGCAGGCACAGGGTGGGCACAGCTGCAGGCATGGTTTGAGGAACAGGCCCTGGTGTGGCTGGCCCTGTGTCACCTTCCACAGGCTGGGGCAGGACGTAGGCAAAGCCACGGTGTGTGGGTGACTGTGGCAGGGAACGGGGTGACATGGGTCGCTCTGTTGGTGGCAGCAGTTGTGGGGTGGGCTTTACCTTGGCTGTGACTGGGGCTGGACCATGAGGTCCTGTGAGGGCTTGAGGGGAGCCTGGCCGAGCTTTGGTGGGCGTCTGAGGGGGTGTGAAATGGCTGCCACCTGGTGGAAGGACCTGCCGTGGCTTGCCAGGCACCAGGGGCACACTGGCCCTCTTGACACCGTGGCCATGGCGGCCTGGCCGGACCTCCTTAGGTGGGGTACCAGAGACCTGCCCCTCATCCAACAGGTATTCCTGGCTTCGTGACATGGGACTGCTGGGCCCAGCGGGCCCTTCCCCTAGCAGCTCCTGAGAACTACTCATATGCCGAGCCCGTCCACCCAGGCTGGGCTCCTGCCGCATGGTGGCCCTTGGAGTGGGCGGCAGGTGGTTGGACGGCTTCTCAGCAGTGCCCCCTTCAGCTGGGCCGGTCATGGCAGCCTGCAGCTCACCACTGAGCTCACTGTCCTGGAAGGTGGTCATCTTAGGGGACTGGCAGTCAGCGGGAGCAGGCTCAGGTGGGGGTGGTGACTCAATGGCCATCATTTCAAGTGACTGAGGTGCCTTCCGACGCAGGGGTCCCCCCTCGTACTTGGCATATTCTGCCTTCTGGAGCTCTGCTAGCTTCCTCACTGCCAGCATCAGCTTCTTTTGGTGGCCTGAGTGGGACATGGGGGCAGGTCAGGTGGACCCAGAGGTAGGCAGGGGCTGGGCCAGGACTGGTGCCTCACCCAGTTTAGTGATGCCGATCTCCTGCAGATCTTCCCAGGTGATGTCTGTGATGAAATCAATGTTCTCATAGCCGTTGTCCACCAGCACCTTGTAGTATTGTGCCAGCCCGATCATGGACAGCCACACAGCCAGGTTAGCCTATGGAGCAGGGGACACAGAGGGGCAGCCCAAGCTGGCTGCCTGCACCCTGCCTGCCTACTTGGAGCTATTGGAGAAGTGCTAGGCCAGCAGGGCACAGACAAACAGAAGGACAAACAAATACACCCAAGGGGTCACTACTGAAAATAGCATTAGCAGGAGCCCAAGACGGCTCCTTGGCACACCCACGGGGCACTGGTACACACAGGAGCCAACACACACACACACACACACACACACACACACACACACACACACACACACACAGACAGGGACCTATACTCAGGACATAGGGGGAAGAAAGTACTTCCTCACCTGCTCAGGCAGCCATGGGCACAGTGCCCTAAGGGGATGCACCCATACATCACAGACACAGATGCACAGTATCACACTGGATACACATACACATGCACACCCTAAACCTTGCATGTCCAGAGCACACAGGCGCGCGCACACACACACACACACACACATACACACACACACGCATCCTGCCTAACACTCACACTATCTTGCTGTTTCCCCACTTACAACAGACGTAGCTACTCACACACCATGTATACACCACACAGCCACATCAGCACACAAACAAACATCCACAGCAGTTTTAACCCAGCAACACCCGATCATTCCTATGCACCCAGCCAGACCCACTCATGCGCCTACACTCACCACCCTCAGTCTCACCAGTGACAGAGTGAGGCAAGCTCCTGGGAGGATCTCTGAGCTGCTGACTGAGTGAACAAGTGCAGACCTCCCCCTATCAACAGATCCAGGTTGCTGGGGGTTTTGGGTTGCCACCAGTGCCTCTCCCGTAGATGAGTAGGAGCCTGGAGCTCAGTAGACCAGAGAGCCAGGCTCAGGATAGGCAGCCCTAAACCCACCTCCTCTTGGCCCAGAAGCTGTCCGCATGTGGACACATCCCTGTAACAGCACAGGCCATGACCTGAGCACATAGCACCAGAACCTGGGTGTCAGCTCTTGAACTGAACTGGCACAGGTTAGCATTTACAGCAGACACTGTGTATGTGGAGCTGTCATGGGAACCTGGAGAGTATTTGGCACATACACGCAGCTGTGTAGCCAGACGTTCCCACATGGGCCTTCTACACTCTGTATGTGGGTAGTGCCCCAGGGTGTCACTGTGGGGCGGGGATACTCCTGGCCTCAGACTCCCCTCACCCTGCCAGCCCCCAGTGTCACCTTGCTTCTGCCCAGGGAGGCTGGCCCCAGTGGCTGGAGTAGACAAATAGAGACTGTCTGAGAGCTCCCTGCTGGTGGACCATCGTCCACTCTGTTCCTTAGAGCCCCAGCAAGCAGGTTAGGGCTGTAGTCATCTGTCTGTGTCTGTCTGTTTGCTGGTCCTGGCTCAGCCACCAGGATGTAAGGAGCCTTACAGGTTTGTGTTCAGGCAGCCAGTCAGGGATGTTCAGGCCGCTGATCTCTGCTGTGATCTTCTTCCGATGGCCTGGCTTGGTGACACCTATGGCCGTGAGGTCCTAGGCAGAGTGAAGGCCCATAAGCAAGAGGCAGGGGCCCATCATTGGAAAGGCATAGCAGCCAGTGGCCAGCCTGTTGCAGCTTACCTCGGGGGTCATACGGCTGATGGTGGGCAGGTCGTAGCCAGCACTGGTGAAGTTGGGAGCATAGAGCTGCAGCTGGAACGTGGCAAGCCACTGGCTGACTGCCTCAGCACTCTGGAAGACACAAGGCACCGGCTGCAGGCCGCCCACTACCAGGCCTGTGCCCCGGCCACCATAGCACCTCCTTTTCTGTTCAACTGGTGGGCCACGGAGTGCTGGGTCTGCTGTCCATGGTCCATCTGCAACCAGGCCCTGGTAAGCCTGACATTGGTGCTCCGCCATCTGCCATCCTGGACACTGAGCATCCTCAGCCCTCCAGCCTTCTTCTGTGATCACCCGGAGAGTATAGTCGTTCAGGTCATAGCCTTCCCGACCTGCCCCCCGTTCCTGCACCAAGGATACCCACACCATCTTGGGGAAGCAAGTGGTGTGATCCCGTGGGAGGGGGCTCTGAGGAATGGGACTTGGGCTGGGCTCTTCAGTGCTGCCCCCAGCTCCCTGGAGGGTGGACTCTGCACCCACAAGCAGGAACACTATGCCTCCTCTGCTGTGCAGAACCCAGCCAGCAGCTCACACCTCCTAGCACATGGATACATGCACACACAACCCTTTGCACCCAAGTACACACCCATGTGTCTCACACCCATCCCCTTCCATGCATGCAGCTACACACATGCACACCCAGCTCTGTCACACTACTGCACACACACATATCGGTCACCCTGTATGCCTCCACAAGCACACACATGTTAGCTCACAGACTACATACATAGTGGACAACACCTACACGCTCACATGTGTGCACACATGACACATCCATAGACTGACAGACAGAAGGATGGGATCTGGCCTTGCAAAGGCCCCCAGCTGCTGCTGTGGCCAGGCCAGGCAGACTGCCTGGGTGCCAGTTAGACTGTCTACCCCTGCCCCCCACCCCTAGCCTGGCCCCAGGAGCCTGCCCGGCCTGTACCTTGCCCTCTGATGCTGGCTCCAGCTTCTTGGGAGGCTGCTCCACATAGACCTGCCCAGTGTGGGCTACTGGAGGCTGCGGCCGGGCTGCACCTGGTGACAAGACGAAGTGGCAGGGCAAAGGTGTTCAGGAGCCACCACCCTACCAGACCAGTGCAGCTAGGTCCTTACCTGTGGTGCCCTCTGGAGGCTTGACAGGGCTGTCCCCTGGGCTGGATTCAGAGACAGACTTCTGGGAAAGCACGGTTGCCAGGAGCTACAACCCAGAAAGGCCAGCTCATCCAAACTGCTCCAGGCCTGGCCACCCAGCTGTCCCAGCCCTGGCTACCACTTCACTGACCTTGACCCCTTCGGAGCCTGCATGTAGGGTGTGGCCCCCACCACTTCTGCCACCAGCCACACTGCTCACGCTGCCACTGCGATCTCCACCTGCACACACAGGGAGTGTGAGGCCAGTGTCAACCCCTGCATGGTCCAAGTGACACCACCTCCACCCTCCTCAAGCCCTGGCCTACCTGCAAAAGGCTTCCTCAGCACCCAGATCTCCTCAGAGGGCACAGAGGAGCCCGATGAGCTTCCTACCTGGGCTGCGCTTGGCTCACTGCCTACCCGGGAACCTGCAGGCCAAGTACAGCCTCTCTGAGTCCTGGATCTGCCCAGGGGGGCCTGGCACAGAGAGGAGGTAGGAATGGTCTTTCTGAGTCCTGTACCTGCCCAGGTGGGGCCTGCAATGGAAAAGGGGCCAAGCAGAGGTACATACACACCTCTGGAGATCACACTATAGCTTTCTTCCTGGCTAACTCCAGGAAGTTGAGAGACCCTCAGGAGACCCCCTCTCCTCTCCATCTCAGACATTTGAGACTAGGAGAGTGGCTGAAGACGCCCAGGGCCAGGTGTCCTGTAGGAAAAAGGGCTGAGGGTTTCTGGAGGACCATTTCTATGTGAGGGTGAGGTAAGAAGCTTCCCAGGAGCCTGATGCCAACAATCCTATCCTGGGAACTAAATGACCTAGTTCTTGGACATACCTCTTCATTGGTACCCTCTGCCTTCTTGCCCTACTCCTCAGTCTCCAAGTCCTCTGGAAAATGTAAGCCACCCCCAGCCCACTGAAACTAGCCTGTGGAGCATTCTAACCTGCTCCTGTACTCCACTTACTCTGCTTTAGCCATACTGGCCCACCCTATCCCTCAGGTGTCAGGCTCCTTGTCTCAGTGTTTTTGTACATGAGGGTCCCAAAACCTGAACTACTGCATATAGTTTAGGCTGGCTTTGAACTCACTATGTAGCCCAGGCTGACCTCGAACTTGAGGTGATCCTCCTGCCTGTCTCCCAAGTGCTTGGATTATAGGCGTGCGTTGCCACATCTAGCTCAGGGCCTTTTCTGATCTCCAAATTCTCCCTGTCACTGACTAGTACTTTCCCCTTCATGTCTACTTCACTGGCCCTCATCCCTCCTACTCCATGGTGAGCTTCTGGAGAACCAGAATGTCTGTGTGGGTCCCCATGTGTCTCCAGTGGCTGGCCCAGAACTAGAGCATGGCAGGCGTGCGATGTTTGTGGAGTAAAGGACTGTGTGCAGGATGCTGATGAGATGACTGGTGGGACACACTGCTGGACCCTAATCCTGGTAGTGGCTAGAAATCAGCCCTGCCACCAGTACAGCAAAGTACATTTGCTGCTTCCTGGCCCCCCAGCTCAGGCCAAGTGCCTCCCTGCTTCCCCCCAGAGCTGGGTGGGACTTGCCTGCTCTCTTGACGATGGCCTCACCCAGGGAGGATGGGAAATAGCCCACCCGGTCATTGCCTGTCCGGTTGTCATGGATACAGCCCTTCCACCTGCCATCTGGATGTTGTTCCAGGACCTGGCCAAATAAGTAGGGCAGCATCCTTAGGGAGCTGCCTCTCTAGGTGAGTCCTGCTGCCCAGTGCCCCCACCCCAACTGCTGCAGGAGAGTGTTCTGGATGAGCATGCCTGGGTCCCACCCTTCCCTGCCTCAATAGCCCCCAGGGCCATTCTCACTGTGATGATGTCCCCGGCCTTCACGTTGAGGCTCGTCAGGTCGTAATTGTTGCAATAATCCTTGGTTGCACGGACCTGCAGGGCCGCTGAGGCCTCTGGGGATACACGAGGTGGACCCCCCAGTCCTGCGAGCTGCTGGCCCTGACCCCACCCCACCCTCAGCTGTCTGGGCCCACCTCGTAGCAGCTGCTTGATCTCCTTGCTGGCCTGTGATGTGGTGAACTGGTGCACGATATCCAATGCCGTCTGGCTGTAGGTGTTCCTCACCTGGGCATTGATCCCGCTCTGTACACAGGAAAGTATGTGGCTGTCAGGGGCCCCCTTGACCCCACCCAGCCCCAGCTCCCCACTGCCCCCAGACTCACATCCAACAACAGCCGAACCACTTCTGTCTTCCCACAGAGTGCTGCCTCATGCAGGGCTGTGCCAGACTTGGTCTGGCGGTTAATATCGATGCCAGCTTGGAGGAGGAGTCTGGTAGGAAGGTGGGGAGGGTGGATAGGGCCTTTCAGCCAATCTGTCCTCCCCGACCCTCAAGCCAGGCCTTGATTCTCCCCTGCTTAGGCTGAAGAATGGGCCAGCACTGTTCTGTGTCCCTGACTACAACAGTATCTTATATTTGGCAAGCACTTTTCAGAGGGCCCATCCCTTGCCAGCCCCTCACAGCTCTTCTATCATCCAGTTCTGCTATAACAACTCCTATGAGCCTTGCTTTATGGATGGGGAAACTGAGGCTCAGAGAGGCTAAGTGCCTCTACAATGTCACTTAGCAAATCAAGAGCCCAATCTAATGAGCTCTGGGAGACTGAGGCAAAAGGATCACAAATTCAAGCCCAGTCTGGGCAATGAAGTGACTTATTGAGACCTTGTCTTAAAAAAAGAAAACAAACAAAAAAAAAACACCAAAAAATCTCTCCGACCCCCCCAGGTCACCCTTTACCTAAGGCTCCACACCAGAAGCCTAACCACATCCCTGTGGTTTCCCAGAGGCTCCTATTTTGTCCCCAGGCCAGGAGCAAAAACCTTGAGCCCATGGATGCCATTGAGCCCCAGGAATCCTGAGGCTGGGTCCCCCCTCCCTGTCACTGGTTATACCTGATGATGTCGATGTGGCCATTCTTGGCTGCCAGGTGTAGGGGGCTGGTGCCATTGGGGTCAGTGGTATCACCCGGCCGGGGCTCCAGCAAAGCTGCACACATATTGCTGCTCAGGAGTAGCTGGACCACCTTGAAGGAGGGATCAGGGTAGGAGGGCCCCGGCCTGGGACTGCCCCTAACCTCTCCCCAGATGAGGAGTATTGGCAGAGAGAGTCCCACTCAGTTCCCACGGGAGACTTACCCCAACTCGGCCAAACTCACAGGCCAGGTCCAGAGGTGTCTTCCCCGAGTTGTCCACCATGCATGGGTTGGACTGGTGCTGCAGTAGCATCTCAGACTGCAGACCCAGGCCATGATCAGTTTCCAACAGCACCAGCCCTGACATCTGCCCATCCCGTCGGGCCACCCAGACTCACCACATCATAGTGACCATGCTGGGCTGCCAGGTGCAAAGGGATGTGGCCCTCGTCAGATGGGACATTCACTGCTGAGCCAGCCTTCAGCACTAGCTTCATGGGCTCCTTCCGGCCCTGCCAAGCCGCATAGTGCAAAGGCCGCATGCCTGGGGGCAGGTGGAGACATTGGGAGCTCTGGCTCTGAACCCATCCCTGACCTCGAGGATACAAATCCCATAAGGTTCTGGCTTGGCCCAGACTGAAACCCGGGGTGGAGGCCTCATGGAGGGACCATCCAGACTAAGGACTCCACCCCTGACCTTGATCTTTTGCCCCTGGCCTTGAGGCCCTGGACCAGTCTTGCCTTTGTTGTCCTTGATGTCCACAGCAGCCTGAGCCTCCAGCAGCAGGGAGATCAATTCCGTGTTGCCATTCAGGGCCGCATGGTGTAGAGCTGAGAAGCTGGGCAGGCGAAGGACAAGTCTAGGAGAGGACTTGGGCCCCTGGCCTTTCCCAGGGTATTCCCACCCCAGACACTACCATCTCAGTTGAGAACTCACCCATCTGGGTCCTGAAAGTTGACATTGATTTTCTTGGTGGAGCCCAGGAGCTCTGGGAAAAGAGGAAAACACAGTAAGGAGAAGCTCTGCCCAGCTCCTTTGAGACAGCCCAAGAGCTGGGGTGGATGGTGGTAGCTCCCTATGGCCTAGAGCCAGAATCTTAGGCTATAAACATCCATTCCACTCCAGGTGCCAACATTTTGAATTTCCTATTGCACTGAGTGTGTGTATAGGGGTCACCATGCCATGGGCTCTAGCCAGTCCCTCATCTGAGAATGGCAGACAAGGCAGTGCACCCACATGGGTACCCACATGTGCACAGACAGCCCCTCCTTCAAGATGCTGGCTGAGCACCTGCCACTGGTGGGAGGGAGAGAGCCGCCCAATCTGTCTCTCAGAAGGACCCAGATGGGGCCGGGGGTGGCCAGGAAGGCTGGAACACCGGAAATGGGGTATCTCTAGGGAAAGAGCTGCTTCCCCACGGTGCAGTCCTTCACTGTCAACCCAGAGCTGCGGTATGGATGGGCCCTACTCTCACGGCCTCAGAGTGATACGACCACACTCACCCCTAGGCTCGGGCTGCCTGAAGCCTAGGGAGTCCACACCCTGCTGTTGAGACCTCTCTTCCTGGAGCCACCCCTAGCTGCCTGCCAGAGGAGGGGAGCCCACCAATACCCTCCCAGTGGGCTGCAATCCACAAGGCCTAGGGCCAACCCCCGGCCTGTCTGGGCCATGGTTACATAACCCATTTGTGGGTCAGTTGCTCTGTGAGCTGGGGCTGGCAGGACAGAAGCCCCTTTGTCCAGGCCCAAAAGAGGGGTGGGGGTGGGGTGGGGGTCCAAGGGCAGGAGAGCCAAGGGAGTAGAGTCACAGAGGGTTGGCTGCAGGGCTCTACTACAGCTCACTCAGCCACTAGGTGAAAGGTATGGCTCCCCTAGAATCCTTTAAACCCATGAAGTCAGACAGATCTGAATTTGAATCTTTATAATTCACTGTCCTTGTGGATTTGGCCTCTGGCTCCTCCCTAGGCCTGAGAAGAGGCTAACAGAGCTGGGTTTGGTGGTGCATGCCTGTAATCCCAGCTGGGAGGCTGAGACAGGAGAATCACAAATTTGAACAATTTAAAGGCTGAGCAACTCCGAGACTTAGCGAGACACTGTCTCAAAATTTTAAACAATTAAAAAAGGGCTAAACTGGGTGTGGTGGTGCACGCCTGTAATCCCAGCACTCGGGAGGCTAAGGCAGGGGGATTGTTTTGAGTTCGAAGCCAGCCTGGGCTACAAAGTAAGCTCAAAGCCAGCCTGAACTGGGGGCAGGTGGAGACATTGGGAGCTCTGGCTCTGAACCCATCCCTGACCTCGAGGACACAAATCCCTTGTCTCAAAAAGGCCAGTAATGCTGGGGATATAGCTCAGTGGCATAAGCGCCTGCCTGGCAAGCACAAGGTCCTGAGTTTGATTTCTGGTACAAAAAAAAAAAAAAGACCAATCAATCAATCAATAAACAAGAGCTAAAGATGTAGCTGCATGCACATGCACGCACGCGTGCGCGCGCACACACACACACACACATGCACTAATAGGACTGACCTAAGGCATAAAGCATTTCCAGACCTAAGTTTTTACTAAAGCCAGCTATGTGGGAATCTATGAGCTCTGGGGTTTTCCAGGAACAGGTGAGCAGAGACATCTCCACCTTCCTTACCCACTATCCCCTGTTTAGACATTGCTAATGCCAGTGTCCATCTTGGTTAGCAGGAAAGCCACCCTTCCCTTTGGTGGCCCAGGCCAAACCCTGAAGTCAGCCCAGGGCTTTTTTATTTTTGGACATCTAAATCATGTCCTCAGAAAAAGAAAATCTATTGGTTCTACCCCAAGATTTGCTCAAAGAACACCCAGGATCCTATGGTTCTCACCATGCCATGGCCACCAACCTACATCAGGGACTCTAGCCCTTGCCTCTCTACTGGCATTTCTACTTCCTCCCTGTACCCCTTGGTCTGTCCTTTGTACCCACTAGTTGGTACCCTATTTTGTTTTTGTCTGTGTTTGTTATTTCGAGACCTTGTCTCACACACCCCCCACAAAAAAGGTACCCTGTTAAAATACAAGTCAGCTGCTCTCACTCTTCTAGAGACGCTGCAGTGCCCATTTCACCGGATAAAGGATGAGCTGGGCAATGGCTCTGTGAGACATGCCCCTCCCCAACTTGCTGTGACCTTCCCATCCTCTACTTCCATCATCTCTGATCCCGCCACGTGGGCCTCTTGGTGTTCCTTAGAAATAGAAACCCCCTTGCCACTGGACCTCTGCACACACCATGTGTATGCGCATAGGCTACTTTTCCCCCAGTTATCTATATGACATCCCCCCATTCCTCTAAGGTTTTCACCTAGATGTCACTTGCTCAATAAGGCCTCTCAAACAAAACTACCCCTTCCCTTCCCATGTCTCCTGCATTTTTCTCTTTAGCCCCCATTACCCCCAACCGGTTACATCTTATTGTGTAAGTCCATCTCCAGTACTGAACTACACGTTCCCAGGAAAAGGGCTCTCAATTTTGCTCACTGCTGGACTCTGTTGGCTAAAACAGTGCTTGCTGCCTATGAGGTATTGAGTTTTTGGTGGAACTGTTACTCATATCCCCTGTACTGTCTAACCAGCTTCATGGGCATGTGGCTGGCACAGTTCCTCAGAAAGGCCTCATGCTTGAAATTCTTAATTATTAGATAAGGTGACCTGCATTTTCACCTTGCATGGGGCCCTGCAAACTATGTGCCTGGGCCTGCCACAAGCTGAAGGGAGTGTGTAAGTCACTGTACCACTCATCCCCTCTAGGGCCATGCTCAGGACACCTACCTCCCCATGGAATGTGTTGCCCCCAACTCTTTTCACTCCAATGTAGCCACTCCTAGCATCTCCCAAGACTTGCCAAGCCAGACCCCTCTCTCCCATCCCACCACAGGCCCTCTAAACTCCCATGGGCTCACCTGGCCACACCTGCAAGGGCTGACATTTCACAGGGGTTGGAGCTCAAGGCCCAAAAAATGACCCAGATGGGAAGCAGGTCCTTCATCAGGAAGGGAACTACCTCACACAAAGAGTCTCCTTACTAAGGTCATCTGCCTATGGTCTCAGGGAGAAAAAAGAGCTGAAAACTGTCTGGAGGGTAGCCAGAGGTCTCAGAAGACCCCTCCACACAATGCCTGCAAGGGGCACTGGGTGCCCAGGAAGGACTCTGAAGAGTGCCTAGGGCTAGGGAGACAGTCCCCAAGGAAGATGGTTTCTGAGTGAACCAGGAGCAGAGCACAGCTATGGTGAGGGCAAGGAGGTGGGGTCAAGCTAAGGTCACGAGAGCCTCTTCTTTTCCCATCAGCTCACAAAGTCTTCCTGATTCTACACTAATAATATAGTACAGCTGGGTGTGGTGGCACATGCCTGTAATCTCAGCACTAGGAAGGCTGAGGCAGGAGGATCACTGTGCGTTAGAGGCCAGCCTGAGCTCCACAGTGAGTTCAAGGGCAGCCTGAACTACATAGCGAGACCCTGTCTCAAAACAAAACAAAACAAAACAGTACAGCCGGGGATATAGCTCAGCGGCACAGCGCCTGCCTGGCAAGTGCAAGGTCATGAGTTCAATTCCCGGTACCAAAAAAAAAAAAAAAACAGTACAAGTCTTGCACCCCAACCCACCCTACACAGTCCTCGTTTCTTGGGCCCCCGATCCCTTAATTGTTCTCCTGAAACTACCTCCACCTTTGAGGCCAGATTCAAACACTAGGCTGGGAGGGAAGTCTTAGTGAGCCAAGGTGATGGCGGGGAGGCCTGGCTCAGTGTTGAAGGAGTGTCCTCAGGCCCTTAAGAAGAGAGGCTGGACCAGAGAGAAGGGTAGAGCCCCTTCCTCACAGCAGAAGAGAGGCCCTAACCCAGTGTATTCCCTGCAGAGCAGTCTTTTCTTCCCCTCAAGAATAGCTACTAAGTGTGTGTGTGTGTGTGTGCACATGGAAGGGGAGGTTTCCTTCAAGGCAGAGTGCGGGACTGACAGCCTAGGGTGACAGGCACTGTGGGATGGAGGAAAAGGGCTGGGCACTGATAGAGCACATAGGGTTCTTGGAATCCCTCTAGGTCTGGGGGTGGGAGACTCTCAAGGACACTGCTTTAAGCCCCCTACCCCATGGCCCAAACTCCAGATGTACTTTGCTGAATTAAAATACATGTTACTCCAAAGCAGGCCAGTGTTGCTATGACGACTGAGCTAATTCATGGAGGGATTTCTCCATCTGATTTATTATGCCCGCCCCTGTGAGTCAGAGCACAGACACGGGGGACAGGGCAGGTGTCTCTCTTGCTCCAGAGGCCAGACCAGGCAGAAAAACAGAGGCAGAGATCCAGGTAGAGGTGAAAGCCCCCATGCCTCCCCAGGATAGCAGAGGGAAAGGGAGGAGAAAACCCCAAACCTGAGGCCCACGGGTCCCTGGCTGTGGAAGGAAGCCAGCTTGATTAGTGTTTACTAAGCACTTACTAAGTGATTGTGCTTTGGGTGTGCTCACATTTCTCAGGACACTGCTGTGGGCCAGGGACCATGGGCACACCATCCTACAGACAGAGACTGAGGACCAGAGGACACTGGCCACTAGGTGGAAGCCTGTACCAGGCCTGTTCCTGCCTCTCCCTGGAAGCCCTCCCTTTCAGCTCTGAGGCCCTTAAGCCAGCCCAGTGAGCGGAACCTGCAGGGCCTCATCTCAGTCTGTGGAAGCAGCAGACCGTGTGCCTGCAAGGGTGGATGCCCTTTGCTGTTGGTTAGGCAGGGCTGCTGAAAAGGTGTTGTCCTGGAGTCCTAGAACCTACCCCTCCCAGGCAGTTGGAGATCTCAGTATCCCCCTGAAGAAAGGGAAGAGGGTCTCCTGCTTGCATACAGTCTGTGGGGTGAGGGGGATGTGAGGGCACCCAGATCTCACGTGCTGACCTGCAGAGCCCTACCTGTGCCCGCACCAGTGCCCTGACACACTGACACGGTCATACGTGCGCAGCCGCACACGCAGTTCGCAGCTGGTCCACACACCCATCCATCTATCTCCAGCGGCCCCCAGGGAGGCTCTGGGCTGAGCCAGGATGAGTGCCAAGATCAGCGCTGCAAGCCCCAGGTCCTTCCCTGAGAACACACAGTGCAGGCTAGGGATGGCTGGTGGCAGCCTCCACTCATCGACAGCTCTCTTTCCCAGCAAAATATCCAGGGAGGACCAGTCTGTTGAAGCCAGCCTGAGCAGTGGGCCCAAAGCCCTTGCTCTCTAGACCATCCTTGCCGGGAGTCTAGCCTGCCCTGCGCTCTCGACCTTGGGCCTCAGCTTCCTCATCAGTAAATGACCCTCACAGGCCATGCCTGGGCAGCCACACCCCCAGTGTGGTCTTGCCCCCCCCCATTCCCCGCAAGGCGTGTTATCAAGCATGGAATGGGGAGAGGTGTCTGCCCAGGACTGTCACCACCACCCCCTACGGCCTCTGCTAGAAGGGCCCCCTCCTCCACACTAAACAAGGGGCGTCTGCCCTTTAACAGCCCCAACAGAGACACCACCCCCCCGCCCCCCGCAACCCCCAGCCAGTCCATAGCCTGGGGAGGGAGGGAGCATCATTAGGGAGGAACGACGCGAATGCTCGCGCCGCGGGCTGGCCGAGGAAGGGTGCCGCAGGTGCCCGCCGAGGGGTTCGAGGATAGTCGTGTACTGGGGCCGCCCCTCCTCCAGCGCTGGGGGACTAGGGGACGGGAGGGGGCGCGGACCGTGGGTCCGGGCGCTGCCGGCCCCGCCCCGCCTCTGGGGACCCGCGGCACCCCCTCCCAACCCGGCGCCCCCCCTCCGCCTGCGCCCACCGCACTCACTGGCCTTTCCCGGCCGCGGCCTCTGCAGCAGCCTCTGCGCGGTCCCCACGTCCTCCGCCTTCACAGCCTGCACGAGCTCCTGCTCCTTCCCCATGGCTTGGCTGGGCCGCTGCGACGCAGCGCGCTCCGTGCGCCCGGCTCAGAGGCAGCGGCGGCCCCGCA